ACCTGCAACCTGATACCACTTATTTAGCCCTTATTTACATAGCAATTTTTTTTTTTCTGCGAAATGGTTCCTCAAAGTTGCTCACCCTAACCTTCAGAGGACTCTTCCTGTATGGATAACCGAGCCCCACATATTTTTCTGTCTGTGTGCTAAGACCAGTTCACAGTCTTAGTAGTGAATGGTAGTAGCTGGAATGTAAAATTAACAGATGAGGGTTTTTTTTTTTTTTAAGTAGAAATGAAAATCAGATTAACAAAAAAGAATGACAGGGTCTTTAGTAAGAATGTGAAGTATAGGTATGTTCTAGATTGTATTCAGTTTTTTTTTCTAATAATACAAATCTATTTAATTTGACTTGCAAGTAAAACAGCTTTTGTAGACTTTATATTTTGGACTAATGTTTTGTTCACTTCTGTTCTTGTGTGTGCTACCCTGGTCACTAGGATTCTGAATTTGTCATGAATGTTCTCTTGGCTTGATGGAGTTTGATCTTACACTCTTGCACCCAGAAGAGACACCAGATCTTTATAATACCATCTGGAACAGAAGCAGTTTCTGTTTGTTTACCCTAGATCTATATGTGTAAACTAGGCTGCTCACCTACTCCTAGAGACAGACCTGCCTGGCCCTACCCTCCCCCAATATAATTCTGGAACTAATAGCTTACATCACCTTGTCAGGCAGCTTCTTGGTGTCCCACACCCACAAATACTTAAATTCCTATTAGCCCATTATAAAATATGCCATTCATCTATGGGATTCAGGGTGATGACTGAATTCTATCATGACATAGATTATGGAGTAAGAACTTTTAGCTGCCTGTCTGGAGGTCAATTAATGTCTCATTGGACTAGGCAGAAAACAGTGAGTGGCCAGAACTGTCCAAGGACATTTAGTTTCCTAGTCATATCACGGGTCTGAGAGACCTTTGGACTTTGGCCAGGCTGAGGCGTGATCATGGATCTCACTGGAGAGCAAGTGTGCCTTTCTTTGCTGACTAGGGTGTTTTTTTGTTTTTTGTTTTTTTTTTTTTTTTTGTTTTGTTTTGTTTTTTTTTTTGTTTTGTTTTTTTTTTTTTTTTTTTTTTTTTTGACAAAGGTAATGTGGTTGTGGGATGACTCAGCTGACCAAGGCAATTATGGCAGACACTGCTCAGGTGCACAAATTCTTATTTCCACAAGATGGCACCCCATGCTTGGTGTGTACCTCCTGGATTCCTTAGGATAAGCACATGAAGACCTTTTCCCATACGTGGTTCCTTTGTTGAGTGGGGGCACCACCCCTGTTTATGTGGGGACCATCTTTATACATAGTACAGAGCTATGTCCAGAATAGAGGAATGTGATATTTCAATGCAATGATTATTACGTATTGAGGGGATCTCATTATGAACAACAAAAACTGTCAATTTCACACGTTTCTTTGGTTAGGAGAGAGAATACAATAAATTTGTTTTAGTGGTATGTTTGTGTTTTTATAATGTTACTCGAAAAATAAAAGACACTGATGCCTCAACGTGTCTGGAGACTCCTGAGACTAAATGTCTTCCTATCCTCCTTGACACTGAGACTTCCTATCTTCAGTGTGACTGGAAAATGAATGCCTCCTACTGAATTCTGAAGACTCTGCTTCTATCTATTATACTCCTCTACTGATGGGATTAAAGGCATGTGATCTGTTACTCTTTTAGACTGATTCAATCCCATGTATACCTGGGTGGCCTTGAACTCAGGGAGATCCATCTACCTATTAATCCTATGTCCTAGGATTAAAGGTGTGTACCACCACCTCCTTGCTTCTGGCTGCTGGTATTAAGGGTGTATGCCTGGCTTCTATAGCTTGTGGCTAACTTTGCTTTCTGAATTCTTAGGCAAGCTTTAATAAATCATATTACAATATCACCACATTGTAATATTAGCCTAGTGTCAGGAACTACTTTAGTTTTTGCCCACTTATTTTATTGTGGGGAAAATACACATACCATGTAATTGGTCATTTTAGCTATAGTTGGAATTCAATGCCAGCATGAACTACAGAGTAAGACTGCAAAAAGAGGAGGAATGGGGATAGCGAAGGAAGAGGAACAATTAAAAGAAGGAAAATAGAGGGAAAGAAAGAACCACATAACCATACGACTGATTCTTACATCATTTGAATAAACACTACTATTTTGATTACTATTGATTGATTGTAAGTTTTTAACTTAGTCAGCTGTGAGAGGCACAAGTTGTATTGGTTAACTGTCACCAAACTGTACTGTGTAACAACACTATAATATCAGCAGAGCATAGTCCAAATTGTTGACCTAACTAGAAAATTGTAGGCCCTGCCACTGGTACAAGTTATACTCAGTGTGCCATGTGCCTATTGTTTCATCCCTGTGACTAGACATGTCCCTAGCAGGTAAAATAGAGCACAAGCTCAATCATAAAGATGAGCATCACCATTTGGACATGTCACACTAGGCTCTACAGTGGTTTACTAAAGGAATTTTTTCAATGTGTTTAAGGGGTGTTTCCATTTAATTACAGTTATAATCTCACTGGCTGTTTCACACACCTGTATCTTTGTGCACATCTCTGATTAAATTTTTTGTTTTGATTTTATTTATTTATTTTTTTTGAGACAGGATTTCTCTGTGTTAACAGCCCTGGCTGTTCTTGAATTTGCTTTGTAAATTAGGTTGCCTGAAACTCACAGAGAACCACCTGCCTCTGCCTCCCAAGTGCCAGTTGGTAGAGCATGTGATTCTTAATCTGAGGGTCATGAGTTCTAGCACCATATTGGGCACCAGATGTAGCACAAATAATAAAACCCAGAGACAAATATTGGGGTTATAGCTGAAGATCAGAAATCAAAGCTGCCAGCCATTTGAGAGTTCTCATCTCTACCAATGCTCAGACTGAAGGGGTTATCCTGTCCTCAGATTGTATCTCTAGACTGCACTGCTCTCCACCAAACCTCAGACTCATTTCTGCCTAGACTGAATCTCTATCTTGTCTCCTCCTACTTATATTCCTCTCTCCACCCAGCCATATCACTCCTGTGTCCATCTCCTTGGATTAAAGGCGTGTGATCCCAACTGCTGGGATAACTGTTGCGTGAGCTGTTTCTCTTTTAGACAGATTCAATCTTGTATAGCCCAGGGTGGCCTTGAACTCACAGAGATCTGTCTGCCTCTGTCTCCCAAGTGCTGCAATTAAAGGTGTGTACCACCACTGCCTGGCCTCTATGGCTAACTAGCATAGCTAACTTTGCACTCTGATCTTCAGGCAAGCTTCCCTTGTTGTATCATGAACAAAATATTACCACAAATGCTGGGATTAAAGGCATATACCGCCATTCCTGACCATCTCTGATAAATTAACCAGGACTATTTTTAGTGTGTTGATGTCTCTACTACCATTGGCATCTGTACAAGGCAATGACTCTTCTAAAATGTCACTATCTGCAATGCCAGGGTTAGAAACTAGGCCTCGATGGGTCTTGACCCAAAAAAAAAAAAAAAAAAAAAAAAAAAAAGCAGGGAGGCACACTGGTAGACACACCCCATCCCACAAAGGCTATGTTAAAAAGTACATGCCAGAAGAAACTGAAAACCTTGGATAGTTAGCCTCCAAAGGTCACTGTACTCAAACAATAATGGCTGACACTTGAAAGATGAGGTCATTAAGAGAATGCGATGACACAATAAAGGTCTCAGAAGTCTGAAGCTCCAGTAATATGCCAATAGCTCACAGGTGAGTGTGAAGCCAGCCACAAGCCTGGAAGGATACGTGAGGGGAGCTGTGTTCTTGCTGGCACAGCTGGCACAGCTGGCTGCACCTTCTGACACATTGCTGATCACCAGTTCACTTGAAGACAACACTACAGGTTAGAAGAAGCTCTATCCATCTTTGTTGTATACTGAGTAACATAATAGGGTTAAATATTCATAACAAAACTCACTACTCACTATTTTAGTTGTAGAGTTCTGTGGTCCACAGTGTTGTGGAAAGGACACCACTGTCCATCTCTCCCAACTAAAATGCTGTCCTCATTGAATGTTATCTCCCCCTTCTCATTGCCGGACTCCTAGCCACACCAATGCCCCAGGGACCCCCTTAGTGAAATCACAGAGCACTTAGCCTTCTGTGATAGTATTATTATTTGGATATGATCTTCCCAGGCAAAAAGCTTATGTGACCCTACGTCCCTAGCCAGTAGAACTTTTGCGGAAGGTTCTGGATACTTGAGAATTGGGTAAGGGGTACAGATCACTGATAGATCATTTGCCTAGCAAGCACAGAACACTAAGTTCTATTAATATTTCAGTCACAAATTTGAAAGGGATGAAGTCACATGGAAGGATTCGAGAGGGAAGAAGAGGTACAAATTATATAAATATAGTACTCATGTATGAAAGTCTCAAAGTATTTTTAAAATGTTAAGTAAAAAACAACAGGGCTAGAAAGATGGCTCAGTGATTAAGAGCTGCTCTTCCAGAGGATCCAGGTTCAATTCCCATCACCCACATGGCAGTTTACAACTGTTTGCAACTCCAGTTCTAGGTGATCCAATATCCTCACACAGACATACATACATACAGGCAAAACATCAAATCACATAAAATAAATAAGTATTAAAAAAAGAAAGCAACAACCAACAAAACCAATAATCAAAAACCTCACACAGGCCAACCATGCTGGGATGCCTACAGTGCTAGTACTCAGGAGTCTGAGGCATGCAAACTGCCTTGAGTGTGAAACCAACCAGGGCCACATGGTAAGTTTGAAAGAATGCTAGTCAGACCCCCCCCAAGAAAAGCACCAAGCAAACAACCACAAAAAAGTGATTGATTTTGAACTTAAAAATGTGTATGTGGTTGTGGGGGGGGAGGGTCACCAGTAATTCCAGCACTCAGATACATCTTATTTTGTATCTCCCCAACAGGTTTCATGACAGACAAAATAAAATAAAATAAATAAATAATCATGATCATACTATTCTCTCTCCATTTTAGATTATTACTTTGGTTCCCAAAGGTCCTCTATTTGACACGTGATAAGTGAAGAAGTTTGCTCAGGTAATGTACAGCAGAGAACTCTATGTATTTTCCAGAATCACATAACCATATATTATGTTTAAAATTACTTATTATTCATCTGTTTATTGATTTATTGGTAGGTATATTGGTTTTGTAGAGACAGGAGCTTATTACATAGCCCTTCTGGCCACAAACTTCACCACTATTACAAATAGTGCTATGATGAGCAACATTATGGGTAAATCTCGGTGAGTTCAAGACCAGCTTGGTGTACAAAGTGAGTTCTGGGATAGCCAGAGCTGTTTCACAGAGAAACCATGCCTTGAAAACCAAAACAACAACAACAATCAAAAACAAAACAAACAAACAAAAAAAGAAACAAAAAAAATTAAACCACAAAGTGGAACTCTTAGAAAGTGTGTCTACTGTCAAGCTGTCAGTAAATAATGGCCCTTCACCGAGTTTGCTCAGACCATACTCATAATAGCACATCCTTACTTTCTCAAACATAATTGATTCTTCCCTCCAGGTAGTTCCCCCAGGGAACACTTCCCTAGGCCTAAGGAAGACCTAAGCCCACCCTTATGCTATACTGTATTTCTTTGCAGTTGTTACGTGTTCGCTTTCACCATGTTGTTACTCAGCAGAAGTGCCAACTGTCAAGCCGGAGGATTTGCTTTGGCATCTATAGCATGGATCCTTTGCAGCATTTCCACAGGCCTGCCGCAGTGGCGAGTGTGGTACTTGAATGAAAGCATGTTCTCTGAGCCTTCCACAGCCTTTATAGGAATGTGGAGAGTTTGCGTTTACCACCAAACCATCAAGGTCGGCAATGCCAGAGAGTGTCATGAATACACCTACCATGACAATTTTGTTCCTTTGAATATTCGTATCGTTCAACATTTGTTATTGGGCTCCAACATTCTCGGGTTAGTTGGGACAATTGCCACCATTTTTGCACTTCGAAATGTGTACACAGGGAAAGTACCGAATAATGCCACCTACAATCCATTCGTCATCTCAGTCGTCCTCAATATTGTTGCCAGTACATTCGTCCTCCTTGCTGTCTTATGCAATTACTTCTCTGTCATTCACAAAGCAGGAATTACCTTCCCACCATCTTTCCATATGCCTTTACATCCACCTCATCAGAGAATTGGAATTGCTAATGTAGTGGCAAGTCTGGCTGCTCTCATGTTTTTAGGCAGTGGCATTATTTTCCTCTCGTATACTTCTGTGGAAAACCAAGTATATCCTGACGTTTGAATATATATTTACAGCTTACATCACCTTCCAATTCCCAGGGATTATAGCATGGATTTTTTTTTTTTGTTTTTGTTTGTTTGACTTTTGTTTTTACATACCAGTTTCCCCTCCTCCCTCTCCTTCCAGTCCCTCCTTCCACCTCTCTTCCCCCTCCCTTTTCTCCTCCCAGCCATTCCCACCAAAACTTTCCACTCTGTCTTCCCCCATTCTATCCACCCCTCTTTCTCTGTCTTTAGAAAAGGGCAGGCCTCCCATGGATACCAACCAGCCATGATACATCAAGTTATAGCAAGTATTTTTTAAGACACTTATATAACTTTTTCAAGGACTGAAAACCATATCTAAATAGCCCATGACAGAAAATGGACAAGTTGTCCTTCTATTTTCTGTCTTGTTTCATTATTTCATTGGTTGGATTATGGGATTTTGCTAAATAAAATATTGTTCACTCGCTGATTTTGTGAAGTCTGAGTTTTGACTATTGGAAAAGGTAAATAATAAGCAAACACACTACACATGGAAATGAATGTTGGAGTTCATTGATCTCTTATATCACTTTCTGAATCCAAGGGAAAAACAAAAGCAGCCCTATGTCCCGTCATGATAATACTATCTTTGTAATATTTTCCAAGTCTTGTGTATATGTTACAAGACTCAGAAAATCTGGTTTTACAGCTTTCCTCCTTCCTTTGGCCCATTTAAGCATTTTTTCCTTTTTTCCAAAGTGTTTAAATTCTGTGTATCACATCCTGTCATCCCCACATATTATTCTCTAAAAATGGGCATTCCTTGCCTAACCATATCATGCCTTCAAAGGCTTAAATAACTTTTATTATCAAGCCCCAAACTTCAATCCTGGATTGGTTGGTGACACATTCCTGGCAATGTGTATTTTATCCATACACTCAAGACATTTTTGTTCTCCAATGCTTTTATTATACACAGAGGCAGACCAAGCTCAGTCAGTAGTGGCTTCTTTCCTCACAGTAACCATGCTGCTTCTCAGGTCTTTATACTGGTGGGGATGTTTCCTTGCCTGATTTTCTGTGGAGACTTAGACTAGCTCCACAGTGCATCATTCACATAGTATTATGTCACATAGCTTTGGGAGCATGCTCTCCACAGAATTCATTTGGTGATACACCTCTAGTTGCTTACATTCTTGGCAACCTGTGGGTTTTGTTACAAGGATGATGGATAGAAGGCAGGTCCAAGTCCTGCCTGCAGCAGTAGAAGATTCAATATTCATTTTAAAAGTGTAAAGGTCCTCCTCTTCAAGAACATTGTCTCTATCACACCATTCCTTTCCTTAATTGCCCCCTTTGTTTGTTTGGAGACAGGATCTTACTATGCCACACAGAGTTGCCTTACACTTGTGAATTATAAGATGGATTAAATATGAAACAAAATTGTGTTTATTAACAGAAAGATGCTCCATGAAAGAGAAAAATTGAGTGCACCCAATATATACAATGAGTATATAGCAGTGTTCTCAACCTGTGGACTGTGACATCCTTGACAAACCTCTTTACAAAAAAACTATTTAAACTGCAATTCAAACAGTAGCACAATTACAGTCATGAAGTAACAATGGAGTAATTTTGTGGTTGGGAAGTCACCACACCATCCACACCATTAGGAAGGTTGAGAACCACTGGTATATAGGGATTTGGGTGGCTCCCAATTTACAGTTTACATCTCAAACGGTTGTTAAAATACTTCCCCATTTTCTAACATTGCCCAAAGAATGTAATTTGCAGCAAGGCCAAAAGATAGAAGGCTTTTTTTCCCACTATACAATGTTGTAAGGTGGAATTATGAGAGGGCATCATTAAGGTTACTAGAAGAGGGGATTGTTTTGAACCATTTTAGTTCTAAGTAAGCACAACCAAATTACTTTCCTGCATACTTTATTAAAGTATCTCCGAGGACAAGCCATCTGACCCTAAGTGAGCACAATGTCACTACAATTTCATATCATCCTATCTTGCCTCCATTTGAGATGTTACCTTTTACATACATACAGTAATATCTAGATAATATGACTTTCTTAGGGTATTTGTGCATTATAGACACAAAAACACAGCTCTCAATTTAAAAGGAGTAAGAGATCATTTATTCTGGAACCAAATATGAATGACCATAATCTGGAAACATGGACTCAAATACCATGATCCCAAAGTTTTTATCATTATACAACAAAAGAAAGTACTAGATCATGGCATTTTTAACTTTTTCAAGACATTAAAACAAATGACTGAGAGCATCAAGTAGCTGATTTAAAGCAAAGTTAAAAAAAACCAACACACTTTACTATCAGCCTTTTATAATATCTTTGCCTTTGATTTGGTAGAAGCTAGTGGTCTTTTTTGTACATTACAAAGAATAAGAGTGGTCAAACAGAGGTGAGTGGTGATAGCTACAAAGGGAGCTGTGCATTTCCCAAAATGACCTGATTGCAGACATCTAACATCCCAACTCTCCACGATCATGGAAATAAGTTGTAACAAGTCAATCAATATTGAAGAGTCTTAAACAGTTACTTTTCTGTCTATAATCTCCATTTTACCACATTAGTGCCTCAAAACTGCAGTTCTTAAATATTTTATACCTAGGTTAGTTGGCATTCTCCAGAGACAAGACTATGGTGGTTTGAATAAAAAATATCCCCTATAGGTTCATGTATTTGAACAAAGAGTCAAAAGATGTAGTTTTGTTTGGGGAGGTTATGAAACATCTAGGAAGCAGAGCCTTGATGTACGTCATTGTGGTGCAGGCCTTCAGGGTTTACAGCCTTGTCCTATGTTGCCTCCCTATTTCCTGGGTGTGAAAGAAAATGTGATCAGCCAGCTTCCTGTTCTTCCTGCTTGCTGCCATGCCTTTTCCTACAATTGTGGACACTCCCTTTGGAATCATGAGCCAAAATAAACTCTTCTGTAAGTTGCTGGTAGTCATGGCATTTTAACACAGCAACAGAGAAGTCACTAATGAAGAATATGGTACCAAAAGTTAGTTGTTTCTGTGAAGAACACAACTATGTTGTTTTTGGAGAAAAGTGAAAGACATTAGAACTTTGAATTTGAGAACCAGTTAAATGTTGTAAGCAGAGCTTAACAAGCCATTCTAGTAGGATCCTGAAAGACAGTAGTACTGAGACTACTGGGATAATGGAGGCCCAGCTTATGAAGTTTCAAATGGGAGCAAGGGCTCTTATAGCAGCTGGGTTAGAAGCTATTTATGTGATAATTGGGTAAATGGTATGGCCAGATTCTCCCAGTATCTGAAGATCTTGCTTTGGGTTATATTAAAAGGTAGTGAACTTATTTGGCAAAAGAAATTTCACCTAACATGTAGTCCATGGTATGGTTATTTCTGATTATTCTTAAATCTACAACACAAAAGCAACAAATGGGGCAAAAATGTGCACTTTGGAGAAGAAAAGAACACTAGAATGTTTAATGTTATGGCAAAGTCATGTGCCAAAGAAATTGTGATTTTTCAGATTAGATAATTTAAGGAGCTCTAGGATAACTGCCCAAGAGAGCACTGTGGCCTATTTTATAATCCAAGGAGCTCTGGGACTGCTCACATATTCACAAGGGCTCTACCACTTTCACTGTCTGCTGAAAGGGCTAACTTCCACATAAACACACAACAGTCTCTATGACCTTCCTTTGCACTGCTGTGTTGTGGGACTGCTCACATCTATACAAGGGGAGTTAGTACTTTTCTCATCTGTCCAACAGGTGTTAGGGACTTCCATATATACAGAAGGGCTTTAGCACCTTACCCATATGCTTAAGGGACTTTTGGAATTCCCACATATATGCAAAGGAATCCATGGCTTTTTTCATATACCCAAATGCCTCTGGAACCGTCCCTATCTGTTCAACAGGCCAACTGGGATCATCCAGCCTGCATAAATGGGTTTCAGACCAATCACTTCTCATGAAGGGGGACTAAGACACTCATTCTTCACCCAGATGGGAGTTTTTTTTTTTTTTTTTTTTTGTTTCTACCAAAAAGAGCATGAAACATGCTCCCTATGACAAAGTAGCTTCAGAACCTCCCACATTAGACCAAGAGGACTTCAAATCTACCTCTTTTGCTGAAATCTTTCCTTACAAAAAAGAGCTGAAGACCCTATCACTACTCCCCAAGGAAGGCATACTTTTCACATTTGCCCAAGGGACCCTGAACCCTTCCAAATCTAAGAAGCTCTGAAACGTACATCTGCCCAAGGGGGCTCTAAAACCTTCTCTATCTGCCCAAGGGGCTCTTATCCACGTCTTCCCAAGGGGCTCTGATCCACATTTGTTCAAGGGGCTCTGAAACCTTCCACATTTTCTCAAGTGGCTCCAAACTCATCCATATCTACACAACAGGGCTTTACATTTATCACTTCTCATGGATATGTCCTCACACATTTCTCTCCCCAAGTGGGCCCTAGGTATTCTAATATCCAATGAAGATTTAAACTTTATCCCTTTGTACAAGAGGGCTTCAGAACATTACCATCAGACCAAGAGGACTTCAAACCTTCCCCTTTGCTTCTGTCAAATTGGAGGAGAGAGTGTCAGGTCTTCTTCTAAAATAGGCCTAAGATCTACCACTACTCAAGGGTGCCTTACACCTGCCATATCTGTCCAAAGAGGTCTCACTCACCTTTCTTCTACCAAAGAGGGTGTGAAACATTCTCTTTCTGTCCAAGGAGCTTCAAACACTCCATCTTAGCAAAAGTGGGTCTTGGGGATTCCCATTCTGCCCAAGGGAGTAGCCAGCAATCACTTACTAACAACTAGGCCTCAGAGTATTGTACTCTGGCCTAGAGAGCCAAAGACCAACCTCCTTTGCCCATGAAGACTTCAGATCTACCAAGGGAAACACAAACATACATCTTCCATCCAACAAGGCATACTGATCACAGGCCAAACTAATATCTTACCTTTTATTCAAGGAAGGTAAAAAAAGGAAGCTGAGATCTGCACCCTCTTACCTAGGGAGCAGCAATCCCTCCCATAACACAAACAAGGGATCTCAGACTTGCCCCTTCTACCTAAGGAGGCCACAAATATTTCTACATTTTCCAATGCAGCCTTCAAAGGACTCTGCTGGAAAATGAGACATGGAAGCCTATCTTCTGTCCCCAAGGTGCCTTCAGACATTTTTCTTTCCAATCACCAGAGCCCTGGGCTTTCCTACTCTTATGAAGGTGGCATCAGATATAAGCCCTTTAATAAAAGGGGGCTCAGATTTTTCCCACTCTGGACAAGGAGACCTTAGACTTGCCCCTTCTAAAAAACTGGGCCTCAGATATGCTCTTTGTGACCAAGGGGAGAGGGGATTAAGGAATTTCCCTTCTGATCAAGGGTGAATCAGACTTTCAACTTCTGTCCAAGGGGGCCTCAGACCATTTTCTTCTACATAAGGAGGCCTCAGGTCTTCCCACTCTGTCCAGTGGGGATCTACATGAGTTCTATTCAAGAGGGGGTGTCTGTGACCTAGTGTCTCTAAAGGAGCTTCAAATCTTCTTCTACCTCAAAGTCCTCAGACTTTTCCATTGTCATGAAAGGGGGTCTCAGACATGCTCCATCTGACCAAGGACACCTTTAGATCTTCCACTTCTGGTCAATTATGAATCATAACTATTTCCACCCAAGGGGGCCTCAGACCTTCCTCGATGGATCAAAGAGGCCTCAGACCTATATTTTTAGAACTGTAGGGATTCAGATCTTTGACTTCTGCCAAGATGGCACTAGACATGCCACCAATGCCAAGATGGCATTAGACATGCCACCAAGGATCAAGAAGCCAAGAGATCTAACCAGTCTGAACAAGGGAGACTATGACCCACTCCTACTCTTAATAGGGTCTCAGACCTGAAACAACTAACCAAAGGAGCCTCATATACTCCACCTGTATGCAAGAAGGCCTCAAATATGTTACCTCCAACCAGGTGGGCCTCAGGATAGTCTACTCTCCTCAAGCAAGCCTCAAGCATTATCTTTCTGAATGAGAAGACCTCAAACTTCTTTCCAAGGGGACTTTATAGTTTCTTTAACTACAGGGGCCTTAGAACCCCCAGTAGTATGCAAGAGAACTTGAGACTTAGCTCCTCTTACTAATGGACTCTGAAACAGTGTCAGAAGTACTATTATGAAGAGAGTAGTCTTCAGATCTACTCTCCTAAGGGGACCTTAGACCTTTCCCATCTGCCAAAAGGGACCTTAAATCTACTCCCTCTAACCAAGTAAAACTAACACCTTCATCTTTTGCTTAAGGAAACCTATGAACTCTCTCCTATAACCAAGGAACCTTCAGATATTCCCTTTCTGCACAAGGGGAGTGGGAAGGAAGGGCTAAGACATGCCCTTCTGATGATGTAGGCTACTGACCTGGCCCTGTGACCAAAGGGATCTCAGATTGTCAATCTCTTCTCAAGGTGCTGCAGACATTCCCCACATGACCAAAGAGGCTTAAGAGCCTGTCTATGAGAACATCATATCTATCCTTTCAACTAAGAGGTTCTTCAACTTTCCACTCCTGAACTCTGTAGCCAGGCAAATAAACCTGTGCCCAAAGGAGCTCAGAGAACTCTGGATTGAGATCCTGTAGCAGAAGAGTATAAAGTTTACCATGGAACCTATGCCATCTACATTCAAATTGGTCATGAGAAGTAGAGAGGTCACATCCTTCACGACGATACTCGTAAGTTTAAGGGGAACACGAAACAAAGGAATGCCATTGAGCTTGTTACAAGAATGCTCTAATTGCAATGGAGTCCTACAATGGAGTTCCTGAAGATGTGGTAACTGCTGAGGGAGTGCCTGCCACATTCTACAATGTGTAATATACCCTGGGATATTCATCCTCTTCAAAGGCTTATATCTTCCTGCTCTGTCCTACTCTAATACTTTCCCCTTTTGAACGATATAGTCTAAGATCTTCCCCATCTAATAGTTCTGACAAAGCCATGAGAGATTCTCTGGCCAAGCCCAGGATTTACACTCTAGAGTCTCGAACCCATTATCTGACTTCAAGCTAGTCATGAGAAATGAAATGGCCTGCACATATTTGGACAGATGAATGAAAACTAGCCAGGGACACCCTTTTAACCTGCTTGAAGCAAGCTGACACTGGCGAATTGTGAAGAGTTGGAACTTGCTGAACTTCCTCCACAGTATAAGGCATGTGGTATATTCCATTTCCCTTCCATCAAGGGCTATATGGGACTTTCTTCTTCTGCCCAAGAGGGTTCAGGCCTTCACCTTTGCCCAATTAAGCTGCAGAATTTTCTACTCTCACAAGAGGATCTCAGTGCTTCCTCTATTCCCAGGGGGCATTATTCCTTCCCATTTGATTGGAGGGAATGTAATATCTCTCTTTTTACCAAATTCTGCTCTGACCTTACCTATTTGTCCAAAGGGGTCTTAAACATTGATTTTGTGTGAAGCCTCATACCTCATCAAGCAGGCCTCAGCCATTCCCCTTGTCATTAAAAAGGCCTTAAACCAAGGGTAACATAAATCACTCCCTCTGCACAAAGAGAACAGAAGTAGGTCTATGATCTTTCTATTTTGACTAAGAGGACTTCAGACAATCCATTTTTGCTCAAGGATTGGAACATGCCATTCCGGTAAAGGGCCACTATGAACAAGGGGGCCTCAGACCTGTATTCACTGTTCAAGGGGGCTTCGGGCCTACCCTTCTGATGAAGGAAGCTTTAAAAGACCCTCTTATGTTTGTGATGAATTCACACCCACTTCATTCTAACAAAGATGGCACAGAGTGTCTGTCTCAGCAGGGTTAGCTAGGCAAATACTCTTAAGACCCATGGGACCTCAGACATTCTTGGTTTAGATTACAAAGCTGAACGAACTTGGCCATCTGCCTTCCAGGTGGTCATTAGAAATTAAATGTTCCCATCTTTCATTCATAGACCTGAACAACTGAAATAATTCTTGAAATGTACAACCACTCATCCTGTTTTAAGAGTATTGATTGTTATCTGACATGACTGGGAAATGCTGGAAGCTAATGTGGTAGTGCTGAACCTTTTTCTACCGTACAAGTTAACCTGAGACATTCATCTGCCCAAGGAATGGGGAAGTGTATTTTCCTATTCTGCCAATTCAGCTGGGGCATTTGCCCCTCTGGCCAAGGAAATTAACAATGCACCCCTTTCCCGAGTTCTCAGAATTTTTCTTTGACAAGATTATGCCCAATCCAACCTCTTCTTAAAAGATACACATTCCACATCTGATTAAGGTGCCACTGGAACTACCCCTGGGTCAGAGTTGGCTCCATTCCTTCCTCTAACATGGTGAATTGAAGACACTCCCTCTCCCAAGGGGGGTATGAAAACTTTCTTTGACAAAGAGGAACTTCCCCTTATATCCAAGGTGACATATGATTTGTCCCTGAGTCAGGGAGCATCAGACCTTGCCCATTACTCTATATAGTCTCAGATCATTCCCTTATATCCATGGGGGCCCAAGACCCATCCTTGAGATCTCAAATCTTCCCCTCATGTCCTAGGTAGTCAATACCTATGATAAAAAAAACTTCAGACCATTACGGCCAAAAATATGGCCATTATGGACTATGATAAAGAATTGGAACATGCGAGGGGGTCCCTAGCAAAGAGTTACTACCCAGTGTTCCTCAACTGCACAAGGTATGCAGAACTATTCATCTTTAGTTCAAGTGGATCTGGGATCTTTCTGCTTTACCTTACTCTGACTGACACTTTCTCACTGGGGCAACTGACCTTTTCCTTCTGCTCAAACAGGGCTTCACACCTACTCATATGATCTAAGTGTCTCAGATCTTCACCCTTATTCAAGTAAGCTTCAGATATCCCTGTAACCATGGGGGAGCTTAGAGTGTCCCTCTTCTATGATGGCCTCACATTAGCAGGTTATGGGGCCTAGGTGGCTGATTTAGATATGGGACTTTGTGAGTTTAAGCTTGTGCCACTTACTGATCTATGGGTACATAAGACATAAGCATGCTAACTCATACTCTTGCCACAGATGGGGCCAGGATCACAACCTCCACGATGAACTGTGCCTTATCAAACCAAGAGCCAAAATTAATCTTTCCTCTCTAAAGTTGTTTTGCCAGGTATCCTGCCACAGCAACAAGAAAAGCCATCCATTGTTCTCTCCTTCATTTGTCAGATACCAAGATGAAGCAAACAATAAGAAAAACACAGCCACTATGTTCTCTAATATCAAAATAGAGCAATTTATTCAAGACACTGAATATGATCTGTTGATTCTCTCTTGAAACAAATGAGCTACAACACACAAGGTGATTCTTTTTTTTTCTTCTTGAAGAGCGTGAGGGGTGACTGGGCGTGGGGGATAGAGGACAGGAGGGGAGGGGGGTATTGATGGTGCTTAACAGAAAGTGGAAAATGCTGAAAGAGGACCATGTCTGGCTGTACGTCTGACACAGACAATAAAAACTGCACAAGCCAGAATTCAAAACTTCAGTGAGCTGCGCAACAGACATTTATGCATTTGACAAGAAACAGAATGGGAAGGTAGAATGAAAGGTTTGAAAAGGGAAAAGCAACAAGGAACAAAGCAGATCCTTACATGTGACAAAGTGCACTTCACTTGGCTCCATGATCTATTTCTTAAGTCAGACAGAACAAAAAGTCAAGTCCTATGGTGTTGAGTGGGGTCAGAGAATTGTCCATCTGGCCCTTCGGTCCTCTACAGGCAGCATCCTGGATGTGCTGGGAATGGTGTGGTTACTTCAAACTCAAGGAAAAATACCTGTAAAGGCTGCTATGTCACTACACTGCTTTCAAAGTTGAATTTGGTCACAAGACTTTAACCATTCCTCACAATGTTTTAGGAGTTATAAACAATGTTAGGTAACAGCATTATACACGGGCCACCCCTTCACCACAAAATATGATGCACCTGCCCTGTGACAGCAGGGCAAATGGTGGCGTCCAAATGCTGGCCACCTTAGAAACAGCTATAGAATGAACTGTTTTATGGGGATGGACTTCAGGGGTGTGGGCTGCATTCTTCTGCTTGGTCCCCTCACGGCCAGCACTAAATTCCTGTCCATGTTTCCCTGCAAGGCCAGGGAATTAAATGGTCTTTATGTTTGTTCGTGTGTATATCGAACTTTTTTGTCCTAGTCTCACAGCCATTGACTCCAAAATAATTCTAATGTGGCTTAGATTCATCGGGGGTGTAGCCTGGACACCCAGAGATTGTCTGATGAATCCCTTATGTGCCATTTACCCATCACCATCGTATAGCAATGTGGAACTTGCCAAATGAAAGCCATATCCTTACAACAGGCTGACTTTTACCAGTTCATCTTCTATAGACATGAACAGAATTTTATTTGGGGAACAAAGATGGGATTTAGCTGGACTTTCAAAACTGTATTCTAAAGCTAAAGCAGTCTCAGGGCAGGAAAACATCATATGCACTTATGCAGAGACACCTGCTACAATCAAATTCTCAACAGAACTCAGGCTTTCTTTGCTAAGTGTTTAGGTGCCCGAGTCCAAACACACCGCTCAACTCAGTAACACAACACTTGGATTTTGAGGGCTCAAATAATGTACAAGTCAAAGTGGAGGCCCATTCACGATTCAGGTTCTTGGTCTTAACATTGGTCTCTTGTGCAGGAAGCGCCTCACTGTCCCTGCTGGCTGATTTCTGGCTCCACATATGGATACTTCCCTCTAAATAACACTTACCTAAGCTGCAGACTGGACCCTGCATACTGCCACTTGCAGCCCCACTGACTTGGCCCAGCCCCTTCTGTCTGTCCCTCTTTACTAATAAAAAAAAAAAAAAAAACCCAAGCCAGTGTTAAGTTATGACAAGAAGCAAACAAAGGTCACCTGATTCAATGATGGCAAATTTTACCAGGCACACAACGCCGTATTTAGCTGTTTTTCTTTTTTTGTTGTTGTTGTTTTTTGTTTTTTTTTTTTTGTTTTTTTTTTTTTTTTAAGAAAAATTCTTTCTTCATTTTCCTCAGTTTTTTTTTAAAGCTTTGTCCTAATCTTCTGTAAGAGGAACTGTGATGTGGGCAGAAATGATTTATGACATTCTACTTGGGTCATAATTCATTTTAGAATTCAAAGTCTCCCTTGATACTCTTTGTCTTCACGAGACTGAGGGACACAGGGGCCTTTGGGTAGGTTTTGCAAGATTCACCAAGCATACTCTTGATAAAGTGCCCATCTGTAGCTACACTGCTGTGAGAAAGAAATAGCTGGCAGGTGCCCTACAGCCACACTGTTGGTCACGGTGGCCTCTGCACTGTGTTCCTATTGGATGCTGAAGTAAATGTGCATCAAACAGTTCTGCTTGGTGCCAAACCAGTGGGCTCTTCCCCACAGCTGCCAAATAATCCCCTCATTCTTCCATAGGACGCTTCCCAATCCACGATTTTCCTAACTGCCTTTCTTGAAGCTGAAGGGAAAGGGGTAATTAGACACCTCAGACTCTGCCAGTGTCTTCTTAGTCTCTTAAATATGAATTTCACAAAACTCTCTATGTCTGATGGCCATTTTAGGATTTTAAAGTCATTTTAACATAAAAATATTTTTTTCAAAAAATACTCCAGGATCTTTCTCTTATAAGTCTTTTTTTTTTCTGTAAAAAGTCCCCCTCCCTGCCTTCTTACATAAAGCACTTACTATGCTCTGAAAGTGCCTTTGGGACCTAATGTGAAGCAACTATGAGAAAGGGACAGAGAGTAAGCGATGGGTAGGGGTGGGACGAGAGGGAAGGAGAGTGCTGTCCATCAAAGATCCATTGTGTGCATGTGGCCATACCTATGCAGGCTTTCATTAAAAGTGAGACCACACCAGAGCAAGGACATTAGAGGAGGAGTGGGGAGCAACAAGGGAGGACAGAAAGAATAAGCCAAAAACAGTTTCTATCTGTGGTGGGAGGCCCCCCAGACCACAGAATTTTAGCAGATAGAAAACCACCAAAGAAGGTTCTAGAAAATACAGCGTTGGGATTACAAAGTCACACGTTTCATTGGTACAAACCGGTCTTTTGGAGAGCAACTGTAGTATCCAAATTGATAGGAGGGAAATACCATGAGGGGCAGATTTTTCCTCCCTTTTGGTTTATCACAGCATTTTTCTTTTTTTTTTGTTTTTTGTTTGTTTGTTTTCTTTTTTAAACCTTTTCTCTATTTTTTGGCACAGCTTTATGTTCTTCCTTCCCTGTTCAATCATGAGAGCCTGTTCTGGATGGAAACCAAACCATGCACCATGTAGCTGATGGCTTCATCCTTCCCCAGCTGAGCATTCTAGGTGAAAACCATATTCCTGTGATACAACCATGTGTATGACTTTGTATTTGTTTGTGTTTTAAACTTCTGGATGCAGATTAGGGGGGAGGGAGGGAGAATCCTGTGGCCAGGGACAGGTGATTTCCAAGTAGACTCAAACAAGTCAAGTTCACACAGTTTGGAGCCCATCATAGGAAGGATGCTGCAATCCCACACATTCACTGCTGGTCCATTAGAATGGTTTTGTTTTCTACATTTTGTGTTACTTTCGGAGATCTAAAACACAGACCTGGAAGGAAAGATAAAGTGTCTGTTACTCTGAGAGATAATACCAGATGCCTTCAAATAGATGCTAGCAAGGCACAGCCTAGCCACCAACTTCATTCTTGAAAAGTTTTACCTGAAGGGTCGTGAAGAAAGAGAAGTCCTAAAAACAGGCTAGTTTCTAAACACCAGAACAACCAAACGCTAGCAAAGACCAGGGAAAGGAAAACCCAGGCCTTGGACCATGCCAGGAACTCAAAGTGACTAAGGTTGTCAGCAGGGGTCACAGACTAGATGCCTACATGGTGGACCAGATTACAAAAGATCTTGGGCCACACTAATGACTCAGTCCATTAGCCAGAATGCCCTTTGCCCTAGTGTTATTGCAACCTCAAGTTCAGAGGCAAATTAAATATTACATATGCTAGTGGACAATGATAATCCACAGAAACCAGGAGGCCTGTCTGATGGAAGCTATGGTTTTCATGACGATGTTTAGCCAGAACATGCACATGACAACAGAATAGGAAAAAGTTTCTCAGCCTATGTACTAATGATACTTGTGGCCAGATATTTCTTATCTATAGTGGGGGCATCCAGAGCATTTCAGGAGGCTTACCAGTATTCCTGGATTCCATCAGTGAAATGTTAATGGCACCCTGCACCGAAGTACTGACAACCTAGTATGGCTCTAGACATTCCTTAACACCCTGGGGTACACACAAGCTAAGAATAATCAAGTTTATTGACATAAAAGGCTATTTTTTTTTATTTTCTTCCTTCCTTTTTTTTGAGACAGATTTCTCTGATCTATAGGCCAGACTTGCCTCAAACTCAGAGATCTGCCTGCCTCTGCCTCCCAAGTTCTGGAATTAAAGGCACACCCAACCACCGCCTATCAAAAACGCTATTTTCAACCCAAACAGAAGCCTCCTTCATTCAGGCATGCCTGCACATGCAAATGGTATGTGGTAAGCACCCGTTAAGGTGATAAGGCTTAGCAGGACAGAAACCTCACAAGGCCTTTGGAAGTACATAGTGTTGGATCAGGGATCAGCTGCACTACAGCCCCCCCCCACCAACTCCCAGCAGACTAGAGGTGCCACTTACAGAGCCATCAGATGCACTGGCACCCACTTTGTCTCCTCGAGCATTCCAGCACACCTCAAATATGCCACCTGTGCCTCGGTAGCTGTGGACGAGACTTCCACTCTGAAAAGCAAAGTATTTGTCATAACTCAGAGGAGCCCCCGAAAATGAGAACAGTAAAAGGGGCACTCTTCTTCCAGAAACATCTAGCTGATCAAGGAGCTCTCAAGCACACAAAAATTAAAAGAATTTCCATACACACCCCAATCTATATAGAACTGCCACCATATTTCACCTAAAACCATGGCTATGCCAGCAAGTCCTCATGGTACTACAGAGTACAAGACAGTGCATTTCCATGAGATGATGCATACCTGCCAGAGGGGGAGCTTTAACTCATGACCTCCTCTTGACCTATTTCTTTTTTTATCTTCCACATTTCAGTGCTGCATTTAAATCTGGGGCATCAGGGTGCTAGGCAAGAGCTCTACCACTAAGCCACATTCTCTGCTTTCCCCAGTGGCTTTGCTAAGATGTCCTTTAGCTTCTGCAGATATCCAAGCACCATCTCACTAAGCAATCTTTTCTTGTCTCCTTCATAGGACTTGGATCAGCCCCCTGGGCTGAGGTCTTTCCACCTGTTCCAGCCCCTACCTAGTTCCTGTTCTGATTATTATCAAACTACATCTCACTCTGTCTCCTCAGAGCACTTGAGTGAGCACATACCCAGCCCATGAGCAATTAGACAATTACATGCATTAGCATGTCATGAAGTTATAACTTCCATCAATTTGGATATGTCGTTTGGAAGAATGAATATACACATTGGTACTGTGGTATGCTAGTGATTGTCTTGACATGTGTCACAAGAGGTTGGAAGCCGAGGTTTCTCAAGACTTGAAGAAATCAGTCCAGTTAAATGTCTTTATAAAATATGTATGAGAGGTCACTGTAATAGCTAATCTTGGTTGTTAACTTGGCCATGTCTGAATCAACTAAAACCCCAACTATCTGAGATGTGCCTGTGAAGCACTTTCTTGACTGGATCATTTGAAGTGGGAAGACCCACCCTAAATCTGGGCCACACTTTCTGGTGTTAGCGCACATAAAAAGACATGGAAGATGGGAAGCTTTTGTTGTTAGCCTACTTGCCCTTACTGGCAAGTTCATATAGCCCACTGCTAAGTAGACTGAAGACCAGTTGAGACATCTAGCCTTTGGACTGAACAACTACCAGATCTTGGTCTCTCTTTTGTGACCAGACAGCCACTGTTGGACTAGCCAGACCATGGTCTATAAGCCACTCTAACAAATCTCCTTTTGATATAGCTTCATTTTATCAGTTGTATTCCTCTAGAGAATCATGAACTGTATAGTCACTAACCACAGTCCTACTCATCAGTTATCTATAGCCATAAAGTGCTATGTCATACACATAGTTAATACATTTAGATAAATATTAGTTTCTGTTTACATAGAAAAAATAAAGAGTAGTATACACTGTGACTATGGACAACAGCAAGCCAACAATATATGTGCCTATAATAAGAGAATTACAGCAGGCTCTAAGATGCTACAAAATAATTAACTCTGTGCTCCCTTCATATGAACCTAACACTGTTGGACCTTTTCAGCATTCTACTCCTCTACAAAAAATCCACAATATAATAAACAAGCCTGCAATCCTAGCTACTCCAGAGGCTGGAGAAGGAAGGATTCCAAGTTTGAAGCGAACCTGCACTGTATCGTGAGTTCTATCTAGGGCCCTGGATTCAATCCTCAGTGGGACTGAGGGAGGGAGGGAAAACCAAAAAGACTAGCAACTGTTCCTAAAAAATTCACATTGTATTGTAACCAGTGTTGTGAGTCACCTAGTGGATGTATATGCACACCAGTTCTACATACATACTATGCCATCTTAAAGTTAATTGGTACCCATAGATTCTGATATCTACAGCGGGGCCTGGAGCCATCCCCTTAAAGATATTAAGGAGCACCTATATTTTTTTCATCTTGTTGGCACCTTTGAAGTGAGTTACCACTAGCAAAATCTGTTCTCTAAATAAGTACTCCTGTACATTTCTACCTTTTGTTCTGTTTTGCTACTCGATAATACAGCTCGGGCAGGCTTCAATCCTGATCATCTTGCTTCTACCTTTCCTGTGCCAGGCTGACAGACATCTATTGGCATATCCGGAGACATGTTGCTAACTTTGGGTTATGTCCCTGAAATGCTCATGGGAATCCTGGAACATGGCTTATTTACTGATTCCCCTGCCACAAGGGGGCATAAACTTAAGAATTCAAATCCTTCTAAATGTCAATCAATCAAAAAAGAATAAGAAAGTGAATTATATGAATGCGAAGCACTGAATCCTCCTGAGAATAAACAAATTGACGACTCCTTATTTTTAGTAATGTACCCAGTACCCTGACTACTTCTCAATTGGAATGATGACCAAGGGCTGAGCTGTAGCTCAGGGCCTGCCATCTCTAAGGCTCTATGTAGCATTCCCAGCACAAAAAAAGAAAAAGAACTGCCCAATGCAATACTTCCTCCCAGTCTACCCCACTAGTTCTTGTCTACATCTACTCTTGATAGAACTCTCTCAACCCTGTAAGGCTATATTGACTCCAACCTTGCCTTTTCAGTCCCTGCTGAAATAATCTAGAATTCATAGAGCTTGTATCAAACATAACAATTTCAAATGTGAAAATTTCAAGCTTCCTATTCCTTTATGCTCTGAATTGCTCCACAGTGAACAGAAGGAAGATCAAGTTGGCAGTCCCACAGTATCTCCCTGGGAAGGTTTTATGAAAGGCCACCTACAGGGTCTTCCTACAAACAGCAACATTTCTAAGGTGAGAAAACTAGGTCTTGCTTTTTCTCTAGCACTTGGGTCCATGCCATGCTAAGACAGCTCAACACAGTGGTTCCTCCAAGGGAGAATGCTCCCAAGATGACAAGCTGAAAGTTCTGGCTGGAGGTCAGATGGAAAAAGTCCAGAGGACTCCAGTCCTGTAGGACCCCACATCATTGGATACACACAGCAGGTCAAACAGCATCTGCCATTTCCATAGGGAGGCTCTACTCACTCCTGAGAGGAACTAAAAACATTCACAGGAAGTCAAGACATTACCTGAGTATTCCAGATATGGACACACTTGTCAAAGGACCCGCTGGCCAAATATTTCCCATCAGGGCTGAACGCCACACTGTAGACAGGCTCCTGATGCTTGGTCAGAGTGTGGATGCAAACGCCTCGCTCCACATCCCACAGTCGAACAGTAGAATCAAATGAAGCACTAGGCAGACAGCAGGGAAAACAACCACAGAAATGGGTTGGCTTTTCAAGATCTCTATGATATATCTCATGTAAATGTCAAGTATATTTGAAATATACTTGAATTTGCTTCAAGAGAATATTCTGGTGAGCACTTTCTCTCTAGAGAAAAGTAAAGCTGTCACCAGCCAGAACGCAGGACTTTGCACAAGCCAGGTAGGTGCTTTCCCACTTGGCCACTGTGTTCCCTCATCTCTGAACACAAAATGCTTTTGTGTACTATTCAACTAACTTTTCTAAAATACTATTATTGTTTATAACATACCCACTTGAACAACTATAAATCCATCCAGGTATAACTGGAAAAAAAATGTAGTGAAGATGTACTTCCACCTGAGAAATTCTAAACCCTCATGTGCATATACAATCACACTGACAAGAGTTACAGAGTTTAATTATTTTCAGATTTAAAGAGCAGTACATATCACAGGGCTGTCACTGTCTGGCTTTCCATTTCCATTTCAAGGGTCAATGTTTGTCCCTGATATGTATATACTATATGACAGATGGAAGTATCTCCCTAATCATTACAAATAAGACCCCATCTCAAACAAAACAGACAAAAACCACACACAAACACAAAATCGTATTGAACATATGCTTACTCTTTTGCTTGTCACTGTTATCTAAACAACATAGTCTAAGAAATATCCTGACAGCATTCTCACTGTATGGGCATTACAGGCTGTTTAGAAATAATTTAAAGTACAGGGGAATGCATTCAGAGGTTGTAGGCAAAGCAGATTAAGCATCCATGGATTCTGGTACCCACAGGGGGTCCCAGAAATATCTCCATGGATACTAAGGGAGTTTTACTTGAAACTAGTTGGCCCCCTTCACAGTGAATTCCCATTTTGTTCAGTTTGGAAGGGTTTTAGCCCTGCTATTTCTATGAGTGAGTCTGTCTTCCCAGCTGAGTCACTCACTAAGCAACAGGGAACAAAGCTACACAAAGGGAGGTGACAGTTGTGAGGTAGTGAAGCTGTGCTCAGTTAGGACACAGAGCTGTGAGGCTACCCTGCCTTACCTTGCTAACATGATGTTGGAGTTCGGGTTGCTGGTGGCTGGTCCTGTGGGACTCCACTTGATGGTATATATTTCTTTGCTGTGAGCTTGGAGGTCATGAACACACACATCCTGCTTCATACTCCAGATCTGGAAGAAGCATCGGCAACAGTGTGAGCTAAAACCATGCCTATAATTGAGAATGACTCAGCATCTTTCATTCTGGTGCACTTAAGGTATCACTGCTTAGGTGGCATGTCTGAGACAGGTTCATAATCCAGTAAGGAGTCCACCAGGCACATTAGAAGGTAGCTGTAAGGAAGTGGCAAAGAACAGAGGTAAGCTGAGTCTACAAGGATGCCGGTAGATAGGCCACAGTAAGGCTAGGTATCATAGTAGGAACTGTGCCCTAGATGTCAAAATTCCATGGAAGAACAAAACTTTAGAAACCAGGAAAATCATGGAGAAGAGACAGTAACAAAGTAATGGCCCAGGTGATTAGGGTGGTCAGGGCTGTGTGCCACACAAGGGTTTGTCTAGGATTAAGCACCTCATCCCCTTAAGAACCAACATTACCTTTAATGTCATGTCATCAGAGCAGGAGGCTAGCAACATTCCAGAAGGATCCCATTTGATAGCATTGACCTCATTCTGCAAGAGAAAACAGCATTTCAGAAAATCAGAGCCTTTGTGTAGAAAGGCTGGCATCCACCAGGGGGCAGGAGCATACTGCCAGTGCTGCAGTGTAAAGGACTCTTTGGGAGTTCACAGTATATCAAAGACCACAAAGCACAAGAACCCACCCACATGATTTTTCTTTCCTCAGTTTGCTTTTAACTCATCAAAAAAATACTGCCACATATTATAAAGGACAAGCCACATTTTCATCCATATTTCCTGAGGGAAATTTTCCTTATTAAGGAAACCAAAGGAAGAATTTGCATATAATAAGCATAGCTAATTCAATCAGTTATTATTTATGGCTGTTTGAGACAGAGACTTAATGTGCAGCACAGGTTAGCCAGGAGCTCCTTATATATCCCAGGATGGCCTGGAACTATCTTGTCAGCCTCCTGAGTATTAGAATTGCAGGCATGTAGCATCAAGCAGAGCCAAAAACTAGTTTCTTTTCTTTTTTTCTTTCATTCATTCACTGATTCATTCATTTATTGGTTTGTCAAGACAGGGTTTCTCTGTTTAACAGCACTAGCTATCTTGGAATTTTCTCTGTAGACCAGTCTGGCCTTGAATTCACAGATCATCTGCCTCTTCCGCCTGAGTACAGGGATTAAAGGTCTGAACTATCACCACCAGTTTAAAAGTAGTTATTTTTAAAAGTGGACTTTGATCATCACTTTCCTATGTGCTTTAAATATAACAGCTCCTCTTCATCATTCTGTTGAAATACCAGTAACTTGTTGGACATAAGGTAAAGGTAGACAAAGGTTTAGGTAAAACAAATACAGCAGTGCCAGTTACCACCCAAAAAGCACAAAGACACACACACAAGCAATTCATGTGTGCAGGGAAACCACATCCAGAGGCTACAAACAAGAAAAGGCACTGAAAAATAAATCCACCCTCCTGTGGATTTGTGTTGTGTATCAGTTTCCTCTGAGATGAAACTTTGAAAGGAATTCTAAGAGTGAGGTGAAATATTAGAAAGAATCTCATTAAGAAGGGAAATGAGCAACTCAAAAGAACAGGAGGTCCCTGAAGCTGACCAGATTCATTAGCCCTTCAAATTCCCACCACAAGGGTGTATATATGCAGAAAAGACTGCTGAGTCACTCTTAGACAAACATGGGTGCTGGAAGAAGCAGAGGTCAGCTGAACTGCCTAGAAGAAACAGAGACAAGACAAGCTGCCTTACCATTTGAGCCACAGGAAGGCCTGTGGCTGTTTAATGAGATCCAAGATGCCAGCTTTCATGAGCTGTGTCTGTCACTGGGGTGGGCTTTGATGGTGCAGTGTCTTTGAGTAATTTTTACTTCTAAAAGTAACCCCTCACCCACATTCTTGTAAGCAACCCCAGTAAAACTCATTGCTTCATCAAGCTGGATTTGGGAGCCATACAACTAGGGCCTGTCAGGTTTTCTTGGTTTCTGAGTAACAGAGACTCCAAGACTGGAGAAGAAAGGCTTTTGGTACAGAAGGAAGAAGGGGATGTGGTTATATAAAGGGCCACATAGTGGAATATACTGTTCAAGGGTTTCTTCAGAGGGGTCTTAGGAACACTACTGCTATTAGCTGCCTCCTCTCCCAAGCCAGCTGTCTCATCCTAACAAACAACTTCACACACCAGATTATTTTCTAAATAATTTCACACTTCTAAATGTTGTGGTTGATCATCTTTGTAAGAACACCAAGTTTTGAAGGGTGTGAAATCGGAAGAAGCTGTGAATCCAAGGAGCAAGACTCACTGTGACCAGATCAAAGAGAGGAAGGGTGTGACTACAGAGCAGTGTAGAGCATTTATGTGTCAGTTTGTGCCTATCTGTGAGCCCAAGTGTAAATGAGGCAGTATGCATGTCTCCAACTGCAGCTATAGAGAAAACTCACAGGCAGACCTCTCCATGTCTTGCCTATCTCCAGCTGACCTATCCACAATTCCCCATGGAGACACAAATTTCTTCCTGGGAGCAGAGCTTTCTCTCTTGCCATCCTTTTGCATCCTAAGTCAAACTTCCAGGGGAGAAAGCAGAACCCGCATACAGGTCTTGGGAAGCAGCAGGTTCAGGACCCATACAGGTAGACTCTGGTCAGAGCACTTAGCATCAGTGGCAATCATTTATGGAACCAGGAGGCAGAATGTGAGAGAGCTAACAACAGAAATCAGACATAAAACGTGTGCCCCCTATTAAAAGCTGGGAAACAGACTGGACTTAGAAGAGTGACAGCTTCCGGACAGAACAGAAAGGGTTAGCAGAGAGCCACCCTGTGGTATTCCCAGGACTACTGACACCTCAGTTGGGTTAATTCCATCACTCCGGGCAGTCACAGAGCCCTCACCAGGTCAGCCACAGAGGCTCTAAATAGTATGGCAGATCAAGAGAGCTCCCCTTACAGTTAACTTTTAATGCCGGCACTGAAAAGATGGCTGTTATAATTCCCAACTCTGAGCATCAGAACTGCCACTTACAGTATGTCCTTGGAAGGTTTTGACCGGGCGGTCACAGCTAAGTCTGCACACATGAATGCACATGTCTGTGCTGCATGAGGCAAAGGTAGTGTTGTTCTGCCAGTCCACATCAAGGGCAGGTGCTGCAAGGCAGGAGGAAAGAGAGGAGATTTGCCTTATTAATTGAATACAGAGCTCAGCGATGCAGACAAAATCATCACCCAGGAGTCTTGTCTAGTGACCACGAATACCAGCCCTAGTGTGGACCTGAAACCATGGAAACCATTTTTCAAAGACCCTAAAGACACTCTCCTTCCAATTTACAAGCATTAAGATGCCCCTGGAGAAAAGCCCCCACCTTTCTACAAAATGGAAAACCCCACAGGGACAGGCCCAGTTATGTGTAAGAGGGAGGTACCAGTTATTTTTTGCTAGGCCACCAATTTCCTTTTGCCAATACTTTGTTTCACAGTAGTCCCAAGGTTCTTGACACATTTCTGCTCTTATACAATATCATAATATCATATGTATTTAAATGAAAACGAAATTCCTGGGACTGCCTCTGTGTAACCCCAACCACAAACCTACCTGAATGAAAAGGAAACTGCTGTTTGGCTTCTCCTGTGTGGGCATCCCAAATTATTGTTGTCTGTACTCCGCAAACAGGGAAAAATTAGTTACTATTTTTTTCATAGAATTATCTAGAAGAATGTCTTGTACCAGAAAAGACAACCAGCCCCCTTTCCTTCTAAGAAATAAATAACATATTTTACACCTATATATAGCCAAACTGGTATCATTTATACATGCAATAGTGTAAAATACTTATGTCATTTCTGTATTTCTGACCTAAATCTATAATGTACATTGTGAATTTCACACTCAGTAATATGCATGCCACCATTAATGAGATCAACTGGTACACAGTAGACTTTACCAATGTATTTGGGGAATCTACTAAAATTGATGGAAATTTTCCCTCAGCTTTCAAACCCAGAAAACCATTACATAACAGATAAGAAGGCACACCCGTGTGTCTTTTGGACAGTGTTCCAAAGGAAAACGCTGCAGGAATGAACATTTCCAACAACCCCCATCACTCCATGAACTAGAAGAACAGGTGGAATCGCCATAAAAATCCAAAGTATGGATTGAGAAAAATCAAACTAAGTCAGCTCTGTGAGTTTCTGTGAAGTTTGCCCCTGTATCAGGTCTCAGAGAATTCTGCCATCTATAATGGGAAGCAGCAGCTTATCAGGTGAGGAGGAAAGATGGAGCCAAGGGAAGGAAAGAGTCTGTGATTAAGAATTGCTCGGGGGGATGAAAGTCAACACAGAAACATCTACAAAAGCATACTGCTTACTGAAGTAGTGAACTCCATTGGGAGATTTTTCCTCTTTTCATCACTGGGCTGAGAGCTTATTCTGCATGAAGGTCTACAGAGCTAAATGTATTATGGGGTGATGCCTTGCTCAAGGTCAACAGTAAAATCAAACCAGAGAAACCATCTGAATCTCAGTGAGTTATTTTGCCAAAGAAGCCAAGAAGCTAAAAATAAATCCATACCCAAAGAGGAAAAGGATGAATTTAAAGTTGATACTCACCTTATCCACACCAGCACTCAAAATATAATTCCCCTTTTTGTTCCACTTCAAGGCAAAGATGGGGCCTTTATGTTGACCTAAGGTGCTGGCGAGATTACCTGAGATGGGAAAACACAGACATGGTGACTTCACAGTTAACAACTGTTCACTCCATCTAGGATCATTCATATAGTGCATCTTATTCAACACACCAGAGATGCAGAACTTACCATCTTCTGTCCATATTCTTGCAAAACCATCATAGGAACCTGTTGCCAACAGTGTTCCATCACTCTGGAGGACAGAAAAAAAGATAAAACACATCAGTATCTGGATGCTTTCCTGGGTCTCCTTCTGCTCATGGAGTTGTGTGACAGAGCCAACCCTCTCACAGGTAATACAAGCACACAATGATGGGGACAACTTTGCAGTCCCAGACTGCTGCCTGCACACTAGGACCTGCTCATGAGCCCCTGGTATGGGCACCCCAAGGTGGGAGGTGGGAAAAAAACTGTTTGTGTATGTTTCATCAGGAGGGCAGCTGTGCAATTATCTAAACATGTGGATGGTAAAAGCTGCTTACGTTCCAGTCCAGTGAGGTGACGTCCTTATTACTGGGAACATCATGTCCGCCTTCACGTATACAGTGCCTCAGCACAAGCTGTGTAGAGCCCCCATTGCTGTTCTCATTAAGGTTCCATATCCTTGCAGTGGAGTCTCCAGATCTGCAAAATCAACATGGAGTATTTGATTCTGGTTCAATGGGGAAATGTAACTGATATGTGGCTAGGTCTCCTATTGTTAGCATGTGCTCTGTTTTTTCGGCCCCACTTGTTCAGTTTTCTTCTTGACCCCCCTCTGCTTACTAACTTGAGATCTATCTGCCTTGCTACCCACCCCACAGAGAAATGACTGGGACCACTGGCTTTACCACAGTATAGGATACACAAACCAGCATGTTCCTCTGTCTGCACACACTGGGAAGATATGACAAACATGTATACTTTCCTCAAGGCATTACTCCAGGGAAGAGGAAACGCTCTCCAATCCTCCAGATCCAGGTGCATTCCTGTCCCAAATTCTTACCCAGAAGCAAGCAGGTCACTAACAGGATTCCAGGCACAAATGAACACCTCAGACTCATGGCCTCGAAGAACTGTTGCTTTGCTTGGTGGAATCTCAACGTCCCCATCTATTTCCATTGGTTTTGAGTGATTATCTGCCAAGCAAACACAAAAACATACATGGGTCACCAACCCATTAAGAAATTGCATCCTTAGGCGATTTTTAAAGATACTTTGTTTTTGTGTACCAAAGTCCAGATACAACTATTGACTACAAAAGTCAGCATTTCTACAGTTTGGTGCACATTTTGTGTTTCTGTTTTGAAATGGTATACTGTACATTTGTTCCCAAAGTGTTCACGTGCTAGAAGCTTGGGGTCCACATGTGGACACAATAGCAGGTGGTATCTAGTGGAAAGTCACTGTTAGCTGTTCTGCTTTGACTTCTCCCATGATGTCTGTCCATCTTGTGTTTGCACCTCATCGTCTGTGAGCTGACATAAGTCTTTTCTCCTTCTAAACTAGCTGCCTCAGATACGTCACATTACAGGAATACAAAGCTAACTCAAACTGCCACTCTCAAGAGAATCATTTAAGGAGACCAATGATTCAGCTCAGCCAGAGTACTAGTCCTGGAGGACTGATAACCTGAATTCAAAACCCCAAATCCTTGTCGAAGAAAGAGAACCAACTCTTGAATGTTGTCCTCTGACCATAACCTGTTAGCACTACTTGCAGAAGCTACCTTGCAGTAGTAAGAAAAGAGCAGACTGCAAATTCCAGGGTTGGCACCCCAGGTCCGCCAGGTCCAAGGTATACTGTGGCAGAAGGGGTAAGCCTTCGGGAAGTAGCATGAATAGCCATCAGAGCTGTGGGAACACACAGAACAAACCCTTTGCGTGTGTGAGCTGCCAGTGTGCATAGATATGTGTTCACTTCTGCTCTGTCATTTTTCCTGTTCTAACTCTAGAAATACTCTTGGACAGGAACCCACTAGGGGATTAAACTACTGAGGGCTTGCAAAAACCAAGCAATATAATGTTCCATGTCTGAGTCTGCTGCCCTTGAAATCACCTCAACTTGCTGACTATAACAGTTTATCCCTTAGCATGGGACACTGGTGGGGGGAGAGGGATGCTGGAATTGAATGATATACTTTTATGTTGGATGACTTACTTATAGAAGCTCCCCTTGTAATGTGGACAAATATAGAGGAACAAAACTTTCTAAAACCAAGGGATTTGAATGACCTTGCAGAAGATGGAGATCTTGTAGACAGATAGGAAGCAAAGAGCAGAAAGGAAAGCAATTTAACAGATTGACAGTGGGCAGCAATTTAAATTTTCCTACATAGATTCAAGAGGAAAAATAACACCATGTCTCTTGAGGACCAAAGAGCTCTCCACTTACTTATTGCATGGGCTCCATTCTCTTCCCCATTCACGGTGGCTTCTCCATTCTTTGGTGGATTTTGCTGAGCAGCAGCTGCTGGTGTTGTAGCTGCTGTGGTTGTGGCTGTAGCTGCGGCGGCCGCCGCCGCTGCAGCCGCTGCATTGGCTTGCTGCTGAGCGAGCTTTTCCCGAAAGGCTTGCTGTCTTGTCTGTACCACATCGGGCATTACAGCATCAATCAACGATAGGGACTCAATGGGACGCCCATCAAATACCGTGCCATCCTAGGAAAGCAAGACAACAGTTACCCATCAGCTACTATGGATCAGAGAAGTTGGCATGGATGAGGAATAAGGTGTAAAAGATTTTTGTGGTAGGACAGGGTTCAAGGGCAAAGAGAGTCAGGGAAGTGGATGAGGAGGACCATTCATGGAGCGATAGCAGCGAATATCATCCTTAGTGGAGATTTGATAGTTGTCAAGCTGAATTTTGGCATTAAGGACACCTTAACAGGTTTCCTTTTATTCTATGACAAAAGCTGCTACCATCAATGTAGTGATTCTTCAATCAGCAGGGGTGAGACTGCCTCCTTGTAGGATAAATCTCCATGTTGGGGAGTCATTTTCAGTCATTAACACTGGGATCATGACTTTGTATCACACTGTCCAGTGGGTAGAGGCAGGTCATGCTGCTCACCATCCTCAAATGCACTAAAAATCCCTCCTCTGAGCATCACAGCCACAAAGATGAACCATTGAGACTGATGGCAACCCTGAGTCACAAAGGTGTAGTGCTGAGATTGATGGCAACCCTGGGCCACAAAGGCATAGTGCAGAAACTGGTAGAAAACCCTGAAGCTACCATCAGAGTGGGCATCTCTACAATAGCCACCATGAACAATGGAGGAGGAATGAGTCCATTTAAAGACAACTGCACCATTCAGACTAGGACTCCTGGTCCATGTGAATTAATGAGCACTGGATGTGCTCGACATCGTAGAGGTGAAATATCACCATAATTCACCAGCCAACAGGTTCACTTGATCCTAATGCATGCGATTTACTGTCCTTTATCTAGTTCCTATCTATCACACAAACATTTCCACACATACTTAAACACACAGAAGTTCTTCCCTCAGGAAACAGGCCAGATATTTGAATCATGAATCTCCACATACCTCCAGGCTGCCTGCAGGATGAAAAACCATGTTCCCATATTCTCTGAACTTCAATTATCTCAGAAACAGAGAGGTACAAGTTTCAGTTGACTACTATCTAAACAGCATACTGCCCCAGGGCAGTTTTCTGTTTGTTTGTTTCATTTAAATTATAATACAACGTGAAAAGTAAGAAAAATAATGCAACGTGGTACAATGTCACCCATTAGTCACCTGGCCCTGGATTCTGGCCATGAGTGGCCCAGACTGACCAGTATTGAACCTTCCATGTTACTTTCTTCTTTCATAGAGAGCCACAGCAAAAAGTTATTGGGTAACAAACCATGGCCATGCAGCTGCAGAGATGTGTAAGTGGTTGAGAACACTAGCTGCTCTTCAAGATGACCGAGGTTCAGTTCCCAGCACCGCATGGTGGCTCACAGGCACTTATAATGCCAATTTCATGCAACCCCATGCCCTTTACTGGCAGTTGCAGGTGTCAGAAACCCAATGGTGTATAGACATGGATACAAGCTAAACACATATACACGTAAAATAAAAACTAATTAATGCATTAAAAAAGAGGTCACTGCCAACATAATAAAAATACTGCCACACTTAAAATACATGGTTGGAGTTTTTTTTTTAAATGCCTGGAAACATGTGACAAAGATTAGCTACCCCTAGACAAACAAAAGTCTCTTGAAAGATAAGAGAAATAGAAATTAGACATTACTTTTGTGTTCTGAAGGACAATTTTTAAAGTTAAAAGAGAATACAGCAACAAAGTCTGGGCAAGACATTTCTAAGGGTAGGATCAGGTTTAGGGAAGAAGGTGGCATGTGTTGGAATGGGCTAACTGAAGTATGTATGAAAAAGTAGTAAGGAAAACTTGCTCTTTTGTAAGTTAAAAAACAAAACAACGTATGAACAGAGGTATCCTGCATGCATAGCTAAAGCTGCCCCAGAAGCCAAAGACTATTAAAAAAAAAATACCTGCTAGAGGTGAGCTAACTCTCTATAGGTCGCTGGTCTGGAAGGTTCTAAGAACCAAAATAATATAGGTTATTGCCACTGCTGTCTATTTCCCACCAAGACTAGTTACTAAGACTCTATTGCTGGTCTTTAAGATGCAAGACACAAACCAAGCAGGAACTGAGCTGGAAGCATATTCCTATAGGCTATCTTTCAGAGGACTGGAAAATACTATGAAAGCTGCTGAGAATGGATTGCTATTCAGCTGTGAACCCTACATGCTTTATAGCACCAACCTGCTAGGCAAGATGTGTCCATAAATGGCAGGTCTGTATCATTTGTTTCAAGGCTCAGTCAGGGAACATCAAAGAAGGAGGGGGATAGAGAAAGAATGTAAGAGCAGGAGAGTCAGGTAGAGTGTTATGAGAAACTGCTTTCCAATTTTCCCTTTGGTTATGCCCCCCTGTGAGTTTCACACAAAATATAGACTCTCCATAAGTAACCAATAAGGGGCCTGTTTGGCAAATCTGTCCTGGGAAATCAGAAAGAGAGTATGTCTGCTCATGGAAAGTGCTGGGCCAGAGTAGATGAAAGTCTGTAAGTAGAATGAATTGCTTGTTATCAGCCAACACCTTCTGATTCTGCAAACCCACACAAGGGGGCACACAAAGCTTGCAAATGGTGCAGCAGCCTCCACTTTCCCCCCAGGCACCTTAGAATGCACGCCTCACCTATACATTAGAAGCATATACATTCTCCAGAGATCTGCTAGGGGGAGGCTGGAACTCTGCCATGCTGTCAGGAATGAACATACCTCATTGATGCTGATCTCCGCCTCCACATACTGCAGTCCCTTCTGAAGAATGGAGATGAGGGCAGCCGGTGGCACTAGTGTCCCATTGATGTTGGACTGGCTAATGTGGCTTTCGATCCCAAACGTGAAGGCGGAGTGGGAAAAACCTTCAGAAAAAGGGAAGCAGAGGTAGGTGAGAGTAAAGTAGGGATGGAGGTGTGGGCTGGAGATGTGAACATGGAACTGTGTGTACCAAAAGGCTACAGAATGGAAGTTTAGCTTTTGAATTAATTGAGCAGGCAGGGAGAATAGGAAACACAGAAGAAGAGAGGAATGGTACTTGGCTTTTACATGGGTGGTGGGGAATGGAACAGGGATCCAAATCTTTGCACAACAATCACTGTACCCACTGGACCATCTCTCCAGCCCTTAAATGCATTTTCAACTTAAGATGGGTTTAATTATAGTTAACTATGGTTTAGCTGTGACATGTCCCCCAAAGGCCCATTATGCTAAAGGGTTGAGTGACAACCAGCGGGACAACTGGGTAGTAATTGAGCCTTTAAGAAGTGGGGCAAAACCAGAACTCAGTCATTAGGTGTGTTAGGAATACTGGGAACTCCCCTACCCCTTCCCATCTTTCTCTCTTTGCCTCCTGGCTGCCAGGAGGTAAACCATTTTGCCATGCCACATACTCCCACCATAATGTTCTTCCACACCACAGACCCAAAAGCAATGGGACCAAAGCAACTATGGACTAAGGCTTCTGAAAGCCAGAGTAACCATTTCCTCCTTTAATTTGCTTTGCTTGAGGTTTTTGGTCCTGATGAAAGAAATCTAACTAATAGAACTACACATGCAACTCTGGAAGATAGAGATACAGTGTATTTCAAGAGTGTGACCATTTGAAAATAGGTCCATTGTAGGTATAATGTAGTAAAACAAGTATGTTGGGGCCCCAGAACAGTGGTTCTCAACCTTCCTAACGTTGTGACCCTTTAATGCTGTTCTTCATGATGTGGTGACCCCCCTCAACCATAAAATTAATTCATTGCTAATTCACAACTATAACTTTGCTACTGTTATGAACTATAATGTAAATATAAGTGTTTTCTGATGGTCTTAGGTGACCCCTGTGAAAGGGCTGTTGGGAGTCATGACCCACAGATCCAGACCAATATAACCTTTTTCTTTGCGAAAGGAAAATACTTCAGGACCAAGGTGATGTAGCTTTAAGCCAAAGGATGCCAAAGGTTGCCAAAAGGCCACCAAAGTCAGGAGAGACATGGAACTGACTGCCACAAAGCCCTCAGAAACAGACACTTAACACCAGCTTTGTCAGATACTCCCAGTCTCCACTAGGGAAATAAATATTGAGGGTTCCCTAGTGGACTTAAGTGGCTTGTTACATAGGCTGCAAGGGTAGGTACTAGGATGGCTTTTCATTAGTATTGTTTCATAGTCTTTTTCTTGTTTTTCAAGACAAAGTTTCTCTGTATTGCTTTGGAGCCTGTCCTGGCAGTCACTTTGTAGACCAGGCTGGCCTCAAACTCTCAGAAATACACCTGCCTGCCGAGTGCTGGGATTAAAGGCGTGTGACACTAACGCCCAGCATTCATAGGTCTTAAACATCTTGAAGTTGTAAGAATTAAAAATTATTTTGCTTAAGAACTAAAATCATCAGAACATAAATCACATTGACATGACAATAGAATTCTGTCCCACATGAGGCTCTCTGATCACACCTGCTGCTACCCACATGGCCTATTTTGTCAATAGGAGACATATGTGTCTAGTCTTTTAACTATATATTATGAAGCAACATTTTGACAATGTCTCACTCAAAATGCCAACCAGCCTGGCCTTGAACTCACAAAGATCCATGGTCTCTGTCTCCCAAGTGCTAGGACTGAAGGCACATTTGTCACCATGACTGGCTCAACTGCTCGATAGTAATTTCAATCTGATTTCCTCTGTCATGAGAACAAAGATCTTTCTCCAACATTCCAATCCAGGAATGGAGTTACTCACCCTCACCCCTTCACTCTTAATACTCTTACAAAGAGGGTCCTTTGGTTATTTTGATAATCTTATAGCATGGCTTGCATTGTTGGTCAATGCAATCTGCTCAAGGCACTTTTAAAATGAACTTCCTTCAGAAAAGCAAGCTGGTTACCTGATTCCTGGAGGTAGCGATATACCAGAAAATTCACCTCGTCGCTGGTAATGCTCATCTTAGCCTCACCTTGCGGCGATGAGGTCTTCGTCTCTATCAAGTGGGAGCCACCCTCTGTTAGAAAAACACCAAAAATACTGTTTTGAATACACTGTGTGTATTTACCTTCTGAATGTGTGTGTGTGCGTTGGGGGGAGTGCTACGGATAGGCTCAGGGCCCTATATCTATTAGGCAAATGCTCTACTACTGAACTACACCCCTATGATATTTAAATAATGTTCATACTTTTATACACAATGGAAATTAATGACTGATCCACATTGTATTTTGTAATTATATAAAAATTTCACTGTAGCTCGGGGCCTAGCCTACCTATGGCCCTGGTTGATTTCCACCAAAACACGTACACACACAGAAAGAAAGTAGCTATATATAAATATGTTACATACAGATAACAATACTAAACACTGCATTTACTATTATATATTGCATCATCATATACATATTATAGGTTGACCAATTACCATCATATTATACAAGATAGATATTATATATATATAATATCAGTTGATTTTTATTTGTCAATGTGACACCATCTAGAGTAGCTTGGGAGGAGAGTCTCAATGAAGGACCATAAATCAGGCTGGCCTATGGGTATGTGTGTGAAAGTGTCTTTATTGTGTTACCTGATGAGGGAAAGCCCAGCCCACTGAGTGGTGCACAGGTGGGGATAGATCCTGAGTGTAGGAATAAAGAAAAAGCAAGCTGAGCACATGCTCACATTCAAATCCTCATTGCTCTTCCTATGGACTAGCTGCTTCAAGTTCCTGTCTTGACTTCTCAGTGGACTGTATCATGAAATTGTAAGCCAAACAAACCCTTTCTCTCTTAAGCTGATGGGTATCTTGCCACAGAACAGAAATGCAACTAGTAGAGTGTGTGAGTGAATGAGTGTGTGTGTTTGTGCGTGCATGCACATGGGCGCATATGCATGTGGACACATAGCCCAGGTAAGATTTTTTTTTTCCTCCAAAAGAGTAAAGCTGTCATAAATTTTAAGGTCTGGACTTACTAAAATATAAACCATACTAAGGAAGCAAGATTTAGGGTCAAGAGAGTGCACAATCAGCTGATGTGAAACTACAATGCATAATTCAAGAATGTGCTTGGTAATGAAACCCTGACCGGACATGGGCAGATGTGGCTGTGTCAGGCACTAATCATTTTCCCACACAAAAGACACCTGAGCAGAATGTCAAGCCTTCCTTGGGAAAATGATGGTGTGGTCCTGGAGAAATAATACATCACAGTGCCTTCCCCTGAGTAACTTTAAAGGGGTCTGCGCCACACACCTAAAGGTCACTCTACCTACAGGGTATAAGCAGCCCCAGAGATGGTGAACAGGTGTGGGACTGAGTTGCTTACACACGTCACCTTGACGTGTCAGGGCTCCAAGTGAAGAGGTGCAGTGCAGGGAACATGGGGGCCAGAAAGAATCCCATGGAAACAGACTCAGCTGCATCAGTGTGTTAAGAATGAATTACTGAGAAGAAAGTACATTGCATGCATGTATGAAACTGTCAAAGAATCAATGAAAATAAAATATATTTTTAAAAAATGCTTATCTTCCTTAGGTGGTAGTAATGTATTTGTGCAAGCACTGCCACAAAAATTTGACCTGAGATCTACTTAATGCCTTGGGTGTGTGTGTGTGTGTGTGAAAGAAATAGAGACTAAGTAAATAGCTATAAATTCACAGAGTAACCCAACAAAAATATAACTTACAGATATTAGACAGGGCAATAATATGTATAGGAAAACACTGGGGCCTGAGCATTATCTTAATGATAACAGTCTCAGGGGTTCTACCTCACATAGCTGCAAATCTCTGACATTTATATCAACAAGGTAATAGGAGGGCAGAGGTCACATTGGGTTACTAGAATGACAGAAATTTGAAAAATGGGCTTTTACCAAAACAAGTGACTGTATGTTTTAGTACTATTCTCCAGGCTAGCTACATACACTTGTGGAAGGTGATAATAGGGAGGTTCTGAAATACAGCTTCTTAAGAACAGTCAACTCAAAAATAGAAAACAGGGGGCTAGAGATATTTCAGTAGTTAAGAGTATGCACTGCTTATGCTAGCACCCATGCTAGGCAGCTCACAACTTCCTATAACTCCAACTCCAGAGAATCCCAACCTCACTTCCCCTTTTTATTTCTATTTTGGGTGTATGAGTGTTTTGCCTGCATATATGTATGTGTGCCAGGTGCATGCAGTACCTGAAGAGGTCAGCAAAGAGCATCATAGCCTCTGGCACTACATTTATAGGCTTGTGAGCAGCTCGATTTAGATGCTTGGAACAGAATCTGGGTCCTCTGCAAGAGCAACAAGTACTCCTAACTGCTGGGCTATCTGTCCCACCCCCATATCCTCTTTTTTTACTTCAATTAAAATATATGCATAGGTTATATTGCCTGCATGTATGTCATTGTCCAGCCCCATGTCCTCTTTTTATACTACAGTTCATATAGTTAGTGCTACCCATCTATGCATGGATATGGGACCATCCATTGGCACATAGGCAACCTATCCTTAAAGAGAACTGATTCTTTCTCACCTAGTAGCCATCAACTGTTAATAGCTCCTCAGCTATGGGTGGGGCCTTGTGAGTCTCTCTCCTACCCATGCTGGAATGGTGATTGGCTTGATCTCGCAACTATTGTGAATTTGAGTTCAATGGTCATGTCCAGAAGATACTATTTTGCAGTAGTCCCCCAACCACTGGCACTTACAGTTTTTGCATCTCTTCTTCTGCAATATTCTCTGAGTCTTGGGGATAGAGGGTATATGATAGGTATTCCGTTTACGTTAGCCAGTATTCTTATCTGACAACTCTGAAAATGTTGCTAAAAATTACCCAAAGGTCCACATGAATGAGTCAGGAAACGAAAACATACCACAGTCATCACGTAGACTCAGGCCCCGTTTCCTAGTAACAGTTCATACCAGTGATTATCACACAGGAAAGGCGAGGCTGACAAAGCCCAGCAAAGAACGCAGCAGTGCAGAGACCCATGCTGGCCATCTGGTATCCGGCCACTTACAAGTGGAAACCCAGCTCTCAATTAAGACTCGACTAGTTAGTAGAATGGCACCTACTTCATCCTGGAGCTCTGAGAGGCTCCAGGAAACTTTCTGTAACCCTCCTAGTTACAAATAAAAGAGAACATTTACTACATTCACAGTTATACCCATCCCCAATCAGAATGGGGAAGACAAGAGTGTTTCATCTGAGTTTATTTTCTTGCCTGAACTAGTTTTCAATAGAGACAACTTCAAGTGGTTGATATAAGGACTTTGGAGTTGGGATTGTACAGGAAAGGAAATTAAAAACAAACAAACAAACAAACAAAAAACCCAATTCCATTTGGAGATGAATTCACAACTATATCAATCCCCTCTCCCCCCTTTCCTGCCCTGCAAAACAAAAGAAAAAAGAAAATGGCATTAAGGTTGATGGCATTTCTGACCCTCCTGCACTAGAGAGAAGTATCAACAGAAATAGTAATTTGGGGTTAGAGATTTCAAGAAATTAAGAGAACATTATACCTACTGTTTTTGTTTGTCTGTCTTCTTTTCAAGACTTTAAGGTTGCAGAAGTTCCTGTTCCTTCACAAAACAGGTCAAGATTCAGTATCCACAGACTGCTAAGTGATTTACTTAATTACCAGTTTTCAGGTGTGCTTAACAGTATTTAACAGCTATTAATATTGGGGAAACAAGAGGATTGCTCAAAATCAACAAGCTCTAAATTGCTACGCAGTATCTTTAAAAATGGAAACTAGAGACCCAGAGAGATGGTGCTGCTGTAAGAACACAGAGAACAAATTCATTAATTGCCACCAGAGGGCAACCTTGTTCTGCAGTGGAGATGTGCAAGGCGCTCACAATTTAGTGTGGGTGATATGTCATTATATAGCAAAAAAAAAAAAAAAAAAAAAAAATCTCCTTTCACAGTTAGTCCCATGATGCAGAGAACTTTTATGGCCATGACAAACTGCTTGTGTTTTTCTCAGGGAGGTAAGAAAGTGTCTTGTTCCTGCTATTAGCCCGTTGTTCTTTATGCTAGAAGAATGTGCAGTACAAAGGAACTATCTACTGAGATGCAGACTTAGGGTCCTGTTTCCACAAGGACTCAAGGCAGCCAACCAGAGGATGGAAAATGGTCTCAAAGTACCCCTTCCATCAGGCAGGGAATCCAAATGCTTTCCATGCATGTATGGATACTAAATGACTTTTCATAAGAGTACTCTTCTCGGATGTATTAATCTCAGTAGCTCTTAATCAGTAGTACTTTAAGACAAAACTCTTAATTATAGGTAGCTGGCCTTTAGAATTTCCTTATGGACACAAAACAGATTACTATAATGAACCTTGAGGTCCTCTCTCTGTGTCTCTCCTGTTCTACTGTAGATTAGATGCTTCTTTGTTTGTACATCAGAGTAACAATGGGAGAAGGAAAGGAGATAAGATAAAAAATGTGGCCAATATACAGTTTATAGTTTGATCCCAATTGTAGAAAATATGCAAATGGGAAAAGGTTGGGAAAAAAATAACACAGTGGAACAAGATGCAGTCATTAAAACAATATTTAAAAGAAAATGACTGTGCTAGTGCTGTGCAGAAAAAAAAGTAGGTGTGGGTTGGAGAGGTGGCTCAGCGGGGAAAGCAGTACCTGACATGTACGTCTGGCTTTTACGCAAGCCTGCTTATATGGGCAAGCACACCCTCAGACATGGATGCACACCTACATACCCCACCATCACCCCCACCAATCAGTCAATCAACAAAAAAAAAAAAAAAAAAAAAAAAAAAAAAAGAGGTGTGTGCATGGTACTACATTTGGTTTTGTTTTGTGTGTTTACACCCTCTTCTTCATTCATAACTAGCTTTAGGGATAGTTATGTTGAATTTACATACATCTCTGTGTGCTTTTTGTATTTTCCATTTTCTATTATAAACATGAACTGTTTTATATTTATTAAAATATAATTAAAATCCAGCAAAGATTAAGTACAGGGTTGAGAAAGGAGAGAAAGGGAGTCTTCTGTTAGAAAAAGAACTCTGCTTTTCACATAAGATTACCCTCACCAAAAGGCATGCCAAAAAGGGTTGCATTGTGCTTGGCTGCCTTATTAGGTTAATTAAAATTTGCCCTCCCAAGATTTTCCACTAGACCCCATGTACACACCCATGACAGATGCTAATGTTACACAAAAGGCATGCAGGAGGCAGACCCAGAAAGCAACATTCTTGGACACGTTTACCTGGTAAGAGCAGACATCTGCTAAGGAAGTCCACTTCACCACTAGTGGAGGATGTGCACAAGCCAAGCAGCAAGATTTTCTTAAAATCTTCTCTTCTAAACACAGATTCCTGTCCCCCACGACTGGCAAATCAGGAGGCTTGGAAGATACCAACAGACAGACATAAGCCTGTCTGGGAACCAGGCTCAGCTAGAATTGTTGATTGAGGCTTGGCCCCAGTGACCTACCTCCTCTACCTAAGCCTCACTTCCTAAAGTGGCCACAACCTCTCATAAGTACCACTATCTGGGGACCAAGTGTTCAAGCACATGAACATGTTGGGGCATTCACATCGTAACATCTGAAGAGCCTCTTCTCTATACCTGCATGTACAGGCACTAAATTTTGTGATTAAGTGTTTAGCAGTTTAAATTCCACGCTCCAAGGACTGATTAAATTTTTGTGCTTTTATTTTATTATTTTAAAGACAGGGTCTTGTTATGTACACCAGGCTGTTATATACACAATTTTCCCACCTCAGTTTCCTGAGTCCTGAGGTTAAGGGAATGCATCACCATACCTGGTTCAAGACTGATACCACTTTGAGTGGACTATGTGTGTAGGCACATATGAGGGTATAGGGATGCAAATGCGTGCACATTCAGAAGCCACACATACAGAATGGATGTCAGTCTCTATTATTCTCTGCCTTAATGTTTTGCACAGGGTATCTCACTGAACCGGGAGGTTGCCATTTGGGGTAGACTGGCTGGCCAGTGGGCCTCTAGGATCTACCAGTCTCCCCCCGCCCCCCGCCGCCTCAGCACAAGGTTTTCAAGTGAGCACACAAGACCATCACAAGACCAGGAGACAGGAGGGGGTGGGAAGGGGCTAGCCTGTGACCTTGGTAGGCCTTGTCTCTTAAATGTCCACTACCACACTGCTGCTAGTATCTGAATCCTTGGGGACACACTCAAACTGCTATAGTCAGTATTCAACTGCACCCAACATTTACTTGGGTATTGGGGTCCTTATGCTTACCTGACAGGCACTTTACCATCAGAGCCATCTCCCCAGCCCCAAGACTGATAATATCTGAAATGCAAAATAAAATAAAAAGGCAACAGCAGCAGTGAGCAGGGTTCCTCAATCTTAGTCCTGATACCAGAAGGCAGAGCCTTTTTGTTGTAAGTTATTCCTACTGAGGGCCTTGTGGAGCCTGTCCCCAAGAGTGAAGATTTTAGCTCCAACTTAAAGGGCTATTGCTAAAATAGGTAAGAAACCATTGCATTCTTCTAGCTTAAAGTTAGCAACCCATAGCCAATCGCCAGAGTATATTATATACACAAGCTGATTGGCATTCAGCAAGTTCAAATGGTTTCAGCAAAGATTCTCTGGCCCACAAAACATAAAACCATTAGAAGATGTTTGCTGACTACTATGGACTGAATGAAATGGTTTGAGTGTAGACCCAAGGATTCAGATGCTGGGAGCAGTGTGGTAGTGGCTGGCCCCTCCTCCTCTGTCTCCTGGTCTTGTGATGTTATCCCTCTTGCATGAATTCTTACCAGTGTGATGTAATAACCATGAGCTTAGTACAGTTACAGGGGCCCTTACAAGAGCCACACCTATGCTATTTGGACTTTAAGGTTCCAAAACTGAGAGCTAAACAAACCTCTATATTTTAGTTAAGTAGCCAGCCTCACACATTTCCTTTTACTAATAAAATACAGACTAAAGCAATGAACCCCTGGTCTCTCTCGGTCTTTCCTAGTCTAAGGCAGGTTTTTCCATTTCTACTATAGAAAACAACTGCTTCGGCCCATCCTGCCTGATGATGTTTATAGGGGCATCTGTAAGTGGATATACCTCACAAACACACCCAACTATTTGAACAAGAGGCCCAAGAAAGGACTATAAACAAGGGATGCTAATCACTACATACTCAATCCAACACCCAGTCAAAACACTGAGGCAGAATGGTTCCCCTTCTCCCAACTTTGCTTTGACTACTCAAAATACAGTTCAAAAGTTCCCATAGCGGGGATTGGAGAGATGGCTCAGCAATCCTATTCCCAGCACCCACATGGCAGCTCACAATCTGTAACTCTATTTCCAGGGGACCTAATGTTTTCTTCTGTTGGGCTCCAGTGACACACGTGTTACACAGACATACATGCAGGCAAAACATCACTACACATAATAAAATTTTAAAAAATATTTAAAGCTTCCAGTATTGATGGACACAGCAACCACTCTAAAAAAAAGAAGAGTAATTCTCCACTATTACAGATCTGGAAGTTACCATACGGTCCAGAGAATCTACCCTGAAATAAATATACCAAAGAAACAAAGCATGTCCACAGAAACACTTTCATTCAAGTGTTTAGGACCTCATTTTCCAGAGCAGACAAAAGACACCCATCAACTGATAAAAGCGGAAAAGTAAATCCAAAAATGCCTGAAATATTATGGATCTCATTTTAGTGAAAGTTAAACCCATTTTCACTAGTTCTGCTTTATCTTCTGAAAATGATATAGCAAAAATTTCCAACGGTCTATTTAGTGCATGGGTCTGTGGGGTCTACACATGTGGATCTGTGTATGATGAACACATGGACGTAAGAGGTCAAACTCATGTGGAGCTATAAACACAGCTGCCTCTCAAGGCTCTTACATGGGTTCTGAATTCAGGTCCTTATGTTTGCAAGGCAAGTACTTTACAAAGTGGGCCACTTTATTGGTCCCTAAGTGTCCCAGTTTGTGTTTAAAATTAGGAAAGCTTTGTGGGGTTTTGGAAGTGAATCAGAGTTACTTAAAAACGTATTTAAAATGAAGCTGAACATATAAAATATATAAATACAACAAAACTCTAAAATCAAAAGCGATAACTATGCATTTACTTATTTATTTTACTACAGTGCTAGGGATGAAGCCCAGGGATTCATGCATGAGAAGCGAATGCTCTAGAACTGAGGTGCACCCCTAACTCCAAGATAAGACCTACACTTCACAGCATCAGTGTTATTTTGGATGTGCATTTCAAGTGATTAGTTGGCATTCACACCACTGTCTGCTGTTTGGTAAATTCTTGTCTGTGACTAAATATATGCAGAATAATCTGTATGACTTCCTACAAAATTTCAAAGTCAGGCAGTAAGTCAATCTGCAGACAATTACAAATCATATTCACAAACTAATGAAGCAGAGAATTCACATATGGGATCCAAATAAAAGCTATATTCCTGTGTCCCATTCTAATAAAAGTTGCAGCTGTCATGTAGCTCATGACACTGTCAAGAAAAATTTATTTTTTGAAGGTGCTGTCTCCTCACAGAGACACTTGGAGTAGTTTATTTTAGCTTAGCCAAGATCCAAAACTCTCAGAGGGTCATAAAAGGTGAAAAGTAACCATGGAAGCCATAATAGGTTTCTGATACTCTTTCCTTCCATCCTTCCCTCCCTCCCTCCTTCAATTTCAGCAGAAAAACCTGCAACTTCTTCCTAAAAAATAATTGGACAACAACTGCAGAGCTTTGCAGAATGCAGGCCTGCTTCTCAAATGGATGGCAGGCACAAAATGGAGGGACCCCATGGAAGGATGCTGCTTACCGTCACAGTGAGTGCATGTGTAGATCTCTGGAGCAGTGGGCCACCCAGCATCCGATCACAGACCTTGAGAAGTGCCCCAAAAGACAAGGACCACCCTGCAAAGAAACAGAAAGACTTGTAAACAAATGTCATAAAAACCCATGAAGGCATATCCCCTTCTCGCCCCTATGTCTCATTAGGAATCCTTCTCATCCTAAGTCAAATTTTACACATTTTATTCGCTCATTATTTTTTCTCCTCACCTTCTGTATGAAGACACAGCTTCTAGATGAAAACAATACAAAATGAAATAGGTATTAAAATAGCTGACCAGGCATTATTATACATGTAGCCTTTCTGACATAATAAAATCACTAACATAGATTCTGCTACAGCTGCTATCACTTTAATAATGTCCTAGGAGGCTCTTAGTTTTTAAGAGAGTGCTTTATGCGACCAACAACCTGTGCACACCCTCAGGTGAAGACATGCATAACATTTAGAGTAAATCTACCATGCTTGTTGGTGCGCCGGCATACCTGCGCATATCATATATTTGGCTCTTATATTCTTTTGCTTCCCTCAGTGCTAGGGGTAAAACCTAGAGCCTTGCAGGAGGCAGGCAAGAAAGAGTTTGACCACTGAACCACAACCCAACTCCATTTCAACCTTTGGAGTGGTGTTTTTATGAACTGCAATTTCAAAGACTTTTGCCTGAATTTATTTCTCTATTTTTACCTACTTGCTTATTTATTTATTTAGAGTATATCTCTGTGTGCACTTGAGGTACACACAACAAAATGTTACAAAGTCAGTTCTCTCTTTCCACCTTGTGTGCCCCTAGGATCAAACTAAGGCTAATCAATAAGCTTGCCCTCTGAGCCATCTTGCTGGACCCTGAAGTAATTTTGAAGAATCTAAGCTTCTAGCTCATGAAATCATCATACCAAAAATTGCTTTAAGGGGCTGGAAAGATGGACCAATGGTTAAGACCACTGGCTTCTCCTGCAGAGTATCCAGATTCAGTTTCCAAATCCCATATGGTGAGCTGGCTTATAATTGTAACTCCTGTTCCAGGAGATCCAATACTCTCTATAGGAACGATGCATGAGTGTGGTGCACATACATACAAGCAGAAATTCACACATACACACAAAACTATTAAAAACTATTTTTATTATTATTTTACAGTAACTAGGAACACAAATCAGCCAATCATCAGTTGCCTAATGAGATGTACTCCTAGCCTTGTACAAAAAAAATTTTTAAAGTTATGAATGACTCCCACTCCTGGCATTCAAACTATTTAAAAAACATCAAAAAATACAAGAACCAAGGAAATTAAATTCCTGTCTCTCAAATTCTTACTCGGTCATCTTGAACAATAGGTGAAAGGTGCAAGTTTGATGTACCTCAAAACCACCAGTGAAGCTGTGAGGGACAGTGCTCCTAATAACCCATCATAAACTGTTTTCAGTAAATTCAAACAAACCAGTCCTACAGAGTTATGTTTATAGTTCCACTGTTTAAAAGAAGGAAATGAAAAACTTTTGACCAGCAAGTTCATAGGCCTCCAAGTTTCATTCATCATTAAAGCAAGAAATCATAAGGACTTTTGAAATAAAAGATAAAAAAAAATTCACCTACAAAAAAAAATCTCTGAATGGAAATTAAAAGGAACCAAACCAAAATGATTCAGGCACAAAGGAATTTGCTAATAAAATAAAAACAAATTTTGTTATGAAAAATGCAGTGAGAAAGAGGGGCTGGAGAGATGGCTCAATAGTTAAAGAGTAACTGCTCACTTACAGAGGACTGAGGTCAGTTCCCAGCACCCACATGGCAGCTCCAATTATATCTATAACTCTATTTCCTGAGAATACTGTCTTCCTCTGGTATTGCATATGCATGAGATACCTACATATGCATGCATGCAAACACTCATATACATCAAATAAAAATGAGTAAATCTTTTTTAAAAGGAAAAAATGTGGTGGAAAAAGTACAAAACTCTTTAAAGGAAACTGAAGGGGAAGGAAATGACTACTCGGGGTAAGATGTAAATTATGGGGTGGGGAGGGATAAGCCTTAGATGAAATAGCTAAATGCTACAAAATATCAAAATATAAGCAGCTGTCACCACAATAAGCTCCAAATTGCCTGTAAATTAAAAGATTAAACCCTATTGTAATTCAATAAGCAATTAATACACTAATAGTTCTTATTACAAGCTGTTCAGAAAAAAAAAAAAACTTTAGAAGTGAATTCCTATTTTCTTTGGTCCAAAACAGATGGTAACTCACAAATCAGAGTTTCAAAACTGAAGACTATCTTTTATATATGTTGTGAAACTCTGTAAGCCTAATTGATTTTATCATCTGTATGTGATCAACACACACACACACACACACACACACACACACACACACACAGAGAGAGAGAGAGAGAGAGAGAGAGAGAGAGAGAGAGAGAGAGAGAGAGATATGACGACTTTGGTTAATAACACTCTTCTGGTTACACAACCTGTCAAAAATAATTAGTTGATTGCTGAAAACAGTAAATTAAAACAAGAAATCAATCCTTCTAATGGCTGGTTTAGACTGATTTCCCCTTGATTAGTACCATAAACAGAAGCATCATCAATAGTTGGTATTCTTAGGACTGGGGAGATGGCTTAGAGAGTAAAGTGCTTGCTTAGCAAGCATGAGGACCTGAGTTCAGATCCCCAGAACCCATATAAAACCTGAGCATGGCACTGGACATCTGTATCCCTAATGTTGTAGGGTAGAGACAATCATATCACTGGAGCTCACTGGCCAGACAGTTTAGCCATCAATGAGCTCCAGGTTTAGTATAAGTTTGACTTGGTCATGGTCTTTTATAAGAGCAATAGTTAAAATAACTAAGAAACTCACTGCATTTTTACTGCTTAGCTAATTCCCTAAGTTGGACACAAAAGTCAACTTTCCTTCCTCCACTCTATCCTGTATTTCCTTCTGTTACGTTATCCAAAGCATCATTTCTATGTCTCCTGATAATAGAAAAATATCATCCCATGTTGATTTCTGCACTCTAGGTTGGATGCACAGTACATACCGTAAATGTAGTCCCAAGGAGGGCACAGTATATACCGTAAATGTAGTCCCAAGGAGGGAAAGGGAGGGAAAGAGAGTGAATGGTAGATGAACTAAATATGGTCACAGAACATTGCAGTATCTGATAACACATTAACAATATAATTACACAATCTCTCTGCTACATTTGTTTTCTTCCTGTCTATCTTTATTGCAAATACCAGAAGGAAGTTAAAATAGTTTCAAAGGACACTAGAGTTCAGAAAGATTTCTTTGGAATTCTTTCTGTGTGGGTTGGAATCCAGGGACTTGCACATGCTAAACAAGTTCTTTACTACTGAGCAGTATCACTGCTCTATCCCATTTTTCTTTTGGGGACAGCATCTCTTTAAGTAGCCTTAGAAATTATATCCTTCTGCTTCAGTCTCCTTAATACTGAGGTTGCAGGATTTTAAGTAAATACCCCTACACAACACTGATATGACATCTCAGCACACTAATGTCCTATTTGAATGTTCCTGATCTAGTGTTTACCAATTTCTCTACCCTCCAAATCAAGTTACCATTCCACATATCTAGCCAAATGCCCAAACTCAGAAATACCCTGCCTGCTAAAAGCCATTCTAAAGTGATACAGGTAGGTTTCTTCATTTCCACTTTGTTATAAACCCTGCCAATCACTTTTACACTGCTTCAGAAGAGCTCTGCATATTTGAAAACTACTATAAAGAGTTTTTAGTTGCTTTTGCAATGTGCATTGTTGTTTAGACTGAATGTATGTCTGTGTGAAGATGTTGGATCCTGGAGTTACAGACAGTGAATGTGCTGGGAATAGACAGAAATATAGGGATTGGAGGGTCAGTGCTGGGACCACAAATGAGTGCTATGAAGAGTACTCAGGATTACAAATCAGTGCCTGGATTACAAATGAGCTTTGGGACCACAGGGACCATAGAATACCATGGAGATTTCAGGTGAAGGAAATGGACACACAGCGAGCTCTGGGATTAAAGGCATATATGGTACCACCTAACATAGCAGCAGTCTAGGCATAAACATTTTAGTATTTGCATCTAAGTGTGCTTGTGTGTGTAAACCAGAGGTTGATTCATCAGTGGCTTCTTTGATTGCTCTGATCCTTATTTACAGAGGCAGTCAGTTCCTCATTGAACTGAGAGCTCACTTGTTGAGCTAATCTAACTAGACAGCTTGCTCCAAGGATGCCTGAATCTCCTGCACTGGGCTCTAGGTAGACTTTTCTGTAGGTTCTGGGGATCCAAAGCTGGGTCTTCAGCCTTGTATAGCAAGTGGTTCATCCACTAAGCCAAGTCTAATCACATCAAACTTTTAAACTGCATAAAGAAACAATATAGATAAGCAGTAAGTGATATCTAAAAGTGTTCTTCATAAGCAGTCATTTAGGGAAATTACATTCTTAGCCTATCAGAACAGCATTAGCAACTTTAAAGAATCCTTTTTAAAAATAGTGTCAAATTTAAAAATATTTTCCTCATAAGAGGAAATCCTGCCTTCACGACTTTTTCTCCAAGACAACAAGAACATTCTAATTTGACCTCTGTATCATTAAATATACCCCAGCATTCTCAACATTCTTCTTTTAGTTAAGTAAAATGAAATCACTTAACATAAAAATTAACCATTTTGAAAATGTGTACTTTGGTGGTATTTAGTACAATGACATCTTAAGGAAAGAAAAACTACCCACAAAACACTTCCATCATACCAAAGGAAAACCTTCCATCTATTCACAGTCATTCTACCCCTCCTCTTTGGAGTATGAGAACTGCTAGTTGTATGTCCATGCCCATGCATTTACTTACTCTGCACATTTCACATAAATACACACACAGTGACCACTTGAATCTGGTTTCTTGCACTGACCATGTTTCCAAAGCTCTTCCTTCCACACCAAGTATCCAACTCTGTTCCTTGTTAAGTGATATCCCATCCAGGGGCAATCAAGCAATGTCAGGATAGAGAGACCAAGTGGAGGTGAACCCCAGGACAGTGTGAGAGAAAAA